GCTTTTTATGCAACTTTTTTCTTTTTTTTTCTAATTTCTGAAAGAACTCTGTAAATGCTGGCAAGTGATGTGAAAATTGCTGCATATTAGTCTGCTGAACTTATTCCTGACTAAAAGTTTAATTAAACTCAAAACCAAAAACACTGGGTTTTATTATGTAATGCAGTTCTACATGATGGGTACCTAGGAGTTAAAGTACTGCATTTATCAAGAATTCACCAACTTCTTTGGAAAAGCAGATGTGGCAGCATGTGTTTTACAGAATGTAACTGAATGGTAATGTTTTCCTTCCAGACACTTAAATGGTAAATAATATAGCACTTATTTTTTTTGAAATATATTCTTAATTGAAAAGCACTTATTTTTAATCATTCTTTTAACAAAACATGCACATAAGCAGGCTTTAAAATAAACTATATAGCTTAGATACTTTTCACATCTGTCCTGTTCTTTTTTCTTTTTATCTCAAAAAAAAAAAAAAAGAAAAAAGAAAAAAAAAAGATAAAAGTTAGCATTAGATATTCTCCAGATTCAGATCTTGCATTTCTTACCTTACACAGCTTCTGATAACGTGGAGAAGAAACTGCCATCCTTTGTAAACGATGCAACAATACCACAACTTTCTGCAGAGATGTTCTCACCACAGCCATCATTTTAAGTTTGCCACACTTCTGAAGACACCTCAGAATTTGCATTATAAATGAAGAGCAACTATCATTTCCTCCCGGTCACTGGACAATGATTTGCCAGCTTTCTGAGCATGCTCTCTTCTAGGATTGCTTCTAAGAGCTACAGGCTTTACAGGCTTCAAAGGCAAAGCAGGCTGATATAGCATAAGTTTCTCTCTCAAAATAACGATGAGAAGAAAATGCAAAAAAAAAAAAATCTTCAGAGATTTGTCTAACCAGTATTGTTCAGCTCTGCCTGTGCAGAGAGTAAATGAAGTTGTTGAGCAGACGAGCATCTGCCACCATTCAAGAGTACACTAAATAGCCAGGAAAGATTATTAATTTAAGCACGAAATCTGCAGAAACAAGAAAAAAATTCCTTTGGGAAGACAGCTCCAGTGTGTCACTACGGATGCTCTCATTCAGTAGCTGCTTTCAATCGGCAGACTGAGCTTTTGCTCCCTCACTCTGGCAAAGGATGCTCTCGCTCTCAGACTGAACGCAGCTCTGGCAGAGCTGTAGTGAGTGAATAACAGACTGTGTTATAAATCTTCAGAGAGAAGCAGAGGGATACCTGCTTTAATTGTATCAGCTACATGCTATAGACTAATAAATCACATGGGTGCTTCTCAAAACCAGTATCAAATACAAAAGGAAAAATTACAGGGGGTAAACCTTTCTGCTACAAAAACTCGCAGCTAATTTAGTCAAAGTGATCTCAAAGGATTCTCACTCACAACAGAAAGTAGGAAATGGCTCCTAAAAACCATTCCAATTTAAGCCTTTCCCTTAATGACTTATTAGGATAAGAAACAAGGGTTTTGGCAAAGTGAAAGTATACAGTTGTGCCACCACTCATTTCCTAGCCATCACTGAATCCAAAGAGCTAACACCATTTTGATGTTTTTCCCATGACAAAGCAGAATTATTTAAGTCACCTAAGGATGACAGAAGGACATTCAAAACCATGGAAGAGTTCAGCTACCAGCAAGGCACTCCCAATGCAATACAGCCAATGTACCCCTAAGTATGACAGTGCCACATTACCAGAGACAGCTATTTCTCATTCCTTCCAAAGGTGATATGTTCAATCTAGTTCAATCTGTATTATAGGCACTGCTGTAACAAACACTCAGGGAGGCCATCATCAACACTACAGGTGGTAGAACAAGGAGTAAACAGCAGATGACTGTCTCAACACAGATTAGATAATTTAGTATCAGGGAAAACTGATATAGTCTTCTCAAGTCCGTCTAAAAAGTATAGTTCCATTCATCACCAACTGATTAAGTATATCGACATTGCCTCTACCAAACAAGATCCAAATAGGCAAATAAAGGAAATATCAAGTCTGGTACACACTCTAAAATAAAACCAAAAATTCAGTTAAAGAAAATGTCTCTTCCAGAGTAAGTTATGCCAACAGGTATCAAGAAAAACAAGAAGTTATTATGTGTATTCTCTGCCTGGGGTTTTTATCATCTTTCCCTTCTCTTGGGGCTGTTAACAGATCTGTAACATCAGTCCTTCCTGACAGACAGGAAGACCAGGGAACTACGGAATGAAAAATACTAAAAAATATAAAAATTAACATATTTGACATCATCAACTTTACAGGTCATTGTTAGATCACTTTACAGAACACGTAAACTTCTTTCATGAGAAGAACTAAACATATTATACAATACAAAAAACCATGCTAATTCTTATCTTCAGCTTCAGTTGAATAATGTAATCTAAATGTAATCTAAATATAATTCAGATCTAAATGTAATTCACCTTCTAAGATAAATGCTTTTATTTAATGTTACTGTAAGATCAGGGCATATCACATTTCAAAGTATATCATATTTCTATCTAGATTTGGAATTTGAAGACCCTAAAACAAGTGATCATATTGTTTAACATATATATTGCCATATGAACACGTGCACACATTTCAAGCGCATCACTGAGGACGGTACAGAGGCACCAGCTAAAGTTAGCATTAACTCTGACAAGTTTCTGTGATTTTAGATACTTCACAGTTTAGATGTTAGTGATTTATATGCTGGCATGCCTCTTCTTAAGCACTTTGCAGCTACGAGGATGAGTGCCAGGCACAGGTTCTTCATGCAGGACAGATTGAAAAACTGTTCCCATCCCAAATTTAGAAATCTTACTACCTGCATCCTCCACCTCAAATTTGACTTTTTTTTCCCATCATCTCCCCCACTCAGTTAAACTATTCCCCTGTACTAGGCTTACACCTACTCTCCCCTTCCACCACAAGTACAGCTCCAGCCTAGCATCCTTAACTGATAACACTGCCAATAAATTTTTTTTGGAAGTAACATATGCAGCAAGAGTCCAGAAGCATCAAAACATTCAGAAATAAGTGTGCAGGAGCTCAAATCTCTTCTACATAAAACAATGTCCACAGCTTACACTTGCCCTCTTCTTACAGTTTTGCTTTTTTTTTCCCCTTGTCAGCTAATATACAAACCTGACTCTAACAATGAGACCAAACACAGTCCATTTACAATAAAACAAGACAAAGTTATTCTGAACACTTATACACCTGTAGACACAGGTCTTCATATCCCTGTTGTCCCAGAGTTAATTCTGTTTCTTAGTTCACTTTCTGCATCTTGCTTCAAATTAGGTTTAAACCTTTTTCAGGTGGCTACTAAACATACTGGATACAGTGATTGACACAGACTGGTTCCAGCAGCAACCTGAAAGGAAAGCCTTTTGCTATATTTTGATCATGGCAACTAAATAAAGAGACTAACACTGTAACTGCAAAATTCAACTCTTAAAAAATAATAATAATTCATTTAAAAAAATCACTACCTTCTGCCTTGCTCAAAGTCGAGATTATTTTTATGGTACTATTCCTAACCTCAGATGCTGCAGTGGAAGTCAAAAGAAGGTTTCAACAGTGCCCATATCACTGAGTCCTGTGCAGAGTGATCTGAGCTGCAGCCTAACAAGTCAGTCCTGAAATGCAGTGGAAGACAGTTCATCTCCCTTGCCCAATACAGATTATCTTGTTTTGAAAATATATGACGCACAGTAATAAAAAATAATCTATCATATTTTGTCTGTCTTCAGCATATATTTCACCTATATTTATCAATACTTTGGTAGCTGAAAATATTACATAAAGCAATAGGTAACTCAAACAATTTTACTGCATCTACACAGTGTATAGGAGCAAGCAGCCATAAGACAAGACAGCCAATTTCAGCTAAAGGAATACCATACAAGGGGAGGCCACGCTTAGCCTCTACATTTCCCTTCTCAGAGGCTATGGTTACAAGCCAGAACAATGGATGTGATGAAGAGTTCATTATAGACCTCCCCACATAGCTGGAAGTTTTGCCCAGCAGTTCTCCCCTCACATAGCATTACTCTAGCAGTTTTGATCAAAATGAAGAACAATGAAGAAGCAAACAATCTTCCCCTACCAAGATGCTTCACAACAGCATATAACCAACAGTGGTAAACTGCAAAATAACAGCTTTTTCTTGTTATCAGAGAAACACATCTCTACAGATGAGTTACCTGACTGACCATAATCACAGAAACATCACTGACTGACATGTCATCTTCCACAGGCACAAAACACCACAATATATCATTTTTTTCTTTCTAATCACAGTAAGTAATTTGTTATCAGATAATTCAAATTGCCTTGTTTCATTTAAATTCAACACAGATATGTTCAGATTAGAGCCCTACTAATAGGGGAATCTTGTTTTCCAAACACCATTAATTAAGACCACAGAATATATGGCTCCAAACTCGGAGCACAAGATTTGAGAGCTGATGTAGCTTCCCAGCTTTGTGCATATCAAAATAACTACACTAAATAAGGTAAATTAATTGAAGGAAAAAATATATATTTAAAAGATTCAGGAGAATTATGACACATGAAAGCATTCAAATCCATTAAACAGGACAACAAAGGAAATGCATGCAGCACAAAAAGACAAAATACAGTGATGCTCAGCCTTTTCCTGCCACAGGCCCAAATGCATAAATTTTAAGAAACAGTCCTGTTTTCCCATCAGTACATTGTACCCTTAATGAAGGCTGAACCCAGGTTCTGTCCCTCCTTCCTACTCTTCCTGAATACAGCCTACATACAAAGAGGTTTAAGAGCACTAAGTGACATAGCTGTCCACAAAACACACATTTCTGCTTCGTTCTCACACGTGACTTCTAAGATACTGTTTTTAAAAACATTCCAATAGGCTGTAAACCTCCACTCTCCAGTGCGTGAAACTAGATTTCCTTTATAATATTTGCCACTGAGGGAAAACACAATAACCAACAGTTTCTCACCTGCATCTGTTTTCTGAGTTCCCTTACACAGGCACTCTCCTGAGCTGTGTTCTCACGCCGAGCAGCATCTGCAAGAACGTTAACTGTTGTCTCTGCCTCTTGAAGCCACTTGAGGAAGCTTTCCAGATCCTTGCATGAGGTCTGTACTGTCTTCAGCTCTGTCTCCAAGATATTCTGCCTATCAACAGCTCTGAAAACAAGACAGCAAGTGTCAAAATATCCCTTCAGTATTACACATATCATAATGAAACTTCTAAAAAATAATCTGAAACTTCTCTTTATTAAGAAACTATACATCAGCTTGTTTTATCATTATTTATACCACTGTTTCGCTGATTATTATATTTTTAGTTATCAACAGATGCTCCAAACTTATGTATTTCACGGTGCTTTTAAAGAATGCATGTGGAAGAATCAGAGGTATCTTCTTTTTGAGCATTATCATCACAGGCTTATGCTACTCTTAATGGCAGAGGTGACTCCCATATGTGAAATGTGTGAACTTCAACAAAAATGACATGAAGTAGAAACACTGACAATTTGGGAGGAATTTTTTTTCTTCTACAGTGAGCAGAAACATTTCCCCTGATTTGTATCTACTGCAAAATTAAACTCTGGAAGTGTGAAAAGTCAAATACCTGATTCTTTCTGCTAAAAGACAAAGACTATGGGTTCCATCATTCAGAGTAATATATTACAGTCATAACAGTCAGCCCATACTCAACGTGTTTAAAGAAAAGACAACTGGTAGAATCAGAATACAGTCCAGACTTTGAACCAATCAAAAAAATTCTCCAGTTGTACAACTCAAGGCTTTGTTTGTAACAGAATTTTTTAGAAGATGCAAGGAACTGATTCAAAACCTTTAGATTAGCCTACCGGTATACAACTTGAACAGATCTCCTGAGAGTAGATCAGATTGCACTTCTGGAATCTAAACTGTTTCCTTGTCATTAAAACAAAACTTATATTGAAAACTGTTATAAGTCAGCAGCTTCAAACGCTCTGATTAACAAAGTTAAGTGTGAGAAGTTGTTTCAAAGCAGGTATTCCAGTTTTCCAGCACATCAGAAAAGCCAGATGCAAGGAAATGTTACTTTCCTTCAAGGACAATAAGAGCATCTGACATAGCCTCAACTTTGCCAGGCTCACGTTCCCAAATACCAGCATAAACAACAGAATTTTCTAGAAACAACCTGCAGTAAGATAAAGTTACAACCCTAATATTTGGAAGATAGACCTTGCGTCACTTCTTAATAATTGCTTTATTCAAAATGAAATTATGTGGATTGTTCCTGAATTTGTTCCTCCCCAAGTTTTGGCTACTGGCAAATGAGTAGCATGGTAAGAACCCTTCATTCAGGCATAAAGCTTTGGCATGCTTTGCCTCCTCTTGACAAAACAAAAGAATAAATTACATGCTAGGGATGAATAAATGTTTGACCAGCATATAGTCAACAAAAAATAACAAGCATCAGCCCAAAAATTAGAGCACACCAAGGAACTGTGAGGAAAAGTGTAAAGTAAAACCACTTACGAGCTCTGACTTCAAATGCCTCTCACTCTGCAGGGATTTTCTTCCCTAGCAGGGGGTTAAGGCCAAAGGTGGAAGAACAGGAGTGACAACAAGAAGAACAGACTGATAATAAAGGTGACCTTCAAAGAAAGAGAAAAGCCCTAGAGGATAAAACACCAAGTGACCCAGATCTCTAAGCCTAAGTACTGATGTGCTGGATGGGAACTAAAACAACTTGAACTTTGTATCTAATAAGATTCATTGAAGAATGTAATCTTCAGCCCAAAGTTCTAATTTCTCAAACTTTCTGCTTGGTTGAAATTAAAGTGAAGAATTAAATCCTATTACAGTAACAATGCTGTCATGATATTTGAATTAAAGCTGAAAATCATTCCTTGTGCTAACCAGAGCACATGAATTGACAGATTTACAATTAAAATTCTAAGACTACATGGCAGCTTTCAATGATGACCTCTGCAGCAGTAGTGAACAACTGTCCTACAGAATAGACCCAAATATTTTCATTTCACTCTAGTAAAGGCTTCAAATGTAAAAGAGAAGTTGATGGAGAATTTTGTATTGAAGATTAACCTCTCCTCCACACCAAAAAGATGATTCAGATTCTCAAAGAATTCTAATATGATCGGAACAGTCTCCAAAAGACACTCTTTCCAGTAGGCAAGAATTAAATGTAAAGAGAACCCACAGAATTGCACAAAACTGCTGCTATTTTACTTAATTCAGTGGTAGTGGAGAATGTTTAAGCAGATTCTATCAGCAATATCCAAGAAAAAAACAGTTATACCTCTAGCATTTAAGCTTTCATGGCACTGTTTCAGATCCCTGTTCCACACAATTCTTTTTTCCAGATTTACGCTAAAAATATGCAATGTATATAAACATGTGATCAAAAGAAAATCAGGGAAGAACATCTGAGACAGTTTAGATGGCAACTACAGTTTAATACTGAAGCAGCAGAATGACGCAGAACAACTACAGCTTCATCCTGAAATAAAAATAAATAGCCACTGGACAGAATACTCAATTTAAACAATGTCAACATGAGAAAGCTTCAGCCTTTTAATGCCACTATTTTCCTTCAACTTTGTGTTCCATGACAAGCCTTACCGCTACCACTCTAGAGGACATTCATGACTGATTATTCCAGGTAATGCTAATAAGGACCACCTTCTGCAACCTCCAGGCATAGCTACAGCCAGAGATGGTATTTTAAAGCATTATGCCATAAATACAGGTCTGTGCTTATAGAAGCCATTGTGCCTGCAGTATGCATGTCCTATCTTTGTCTGTCCTGAGATCTGTCACATTAAGCCATCCTCAGCGCTCAAGGTTCACTAGATTTTTTGTTTATTGCATTTGAAGGCAAAGATAAAAACCTTCATTCCCCTGAAAAAGTGCTCTTATTGCACTCTCCCCTTTTAATTCTGCTCTGCAGAGTTACAGTGAGCAGCTCCATGCTCTGGCTACCCACTGGTTTTCTGAGTTCTCCTGTACATTCTGCCACTAGTTAAGAAACAAAGCAGACATTCATCTTCGTAAGGCTGCAGCATAGCAGCCCCAGTGATAACTGTGGAGCTTCAGTTACACACAATAGAACACAAGGTGCTTACTATTCCATACTTTAAGCAGATTCAAAAATAATTAGAGGCTTCCAGTCAGGAGCTCTTCTTTCTGATCACCTGCTTTGACATAGGTGGGTAGCTTTATGCTAGCTCTAGACAAAACTGCAAAGTTTGAATTTGAATGAGGCTACTACAGAGCTGGAACCTACAGGTACTGCTAATCCAACCAGGAGCTCTCCTCCCAAACCTATAATTGCATTTCTATTCCCAGAAATCATCATGACCTATTTCAGATGAAATTAACAGCATTTTTGGAAAAGATACTAGTTATTTTGAGGAAAGGCAGAGGAACATGCAGACTCAGTTCAAATGAATGGTCAAGATAGGTCATTTCAAAAGGTGACCTCATAACTATAGCTTAGCTCACAGTAAAAAGCTATGGAAGTTTTGTCATATGCTAAAAGTCTTTCCTTTGCCTCTGTCTACTGGACATTTTAACTGAAGAATCATGAAAAGAAAATGCCCATATTAGATCAATTATGAAATATTTTAGTTGTTTGAAAACTCTATCTTAGATGTCTCTAAAACATTTAGAGATCAACAAGTCTTTATTCTCTCTCAAATGATCACACAGAATGAGCCATATAAAGTTTTGTCTGTTTGGTATCTCATCTCTCAATGGAAATAACGAGGAAACGAGTTGTATAAAACTCTTTGTGACATCAAAAGCAGAAAACTACAAAGATATCATTTTCCTCCAAGGAAGGATAACAAGACATTACATTCTTCTTCCTTAATTACCTGTGAAACCAACTGCTTACCACTGTAAAGTTCTCTTCCTCTTATTCCCCAGGACATATCATTCAACTGTAGAGGCTTTACTATGAAAGACTCGTTCTCAATTAACTCACACATCATTAAAAAAAAAAAAAAAAAAAAAAAAGCAGTTTCCCTTTTTTGTATGCACCTACATGCATGCATAGATACAGATTTTGGTTGTCATTTACCCCATTCCCATATACATAGGATCAGATCTCTCTTCTGTCCTTCTAATCACAAAGTATATTGTCTTTTAAAGGCACTGGTATTGAGTCAGATATAGGGCTTACGATAATTACCCATAAAATGCTGAAGACTATTTGCAGCAATTAGATTACTTCACACACACAAAAAATGTTACACATAGGAAAATAAACACAATCATATGTTCAGCATTTGGTCTGTAAGACTTATTTGCAAATGATGAATAGGATGAATACAAGGCAGCTTCAAATCTCAGTTCCTATAGATCAAGTGCTTTCTAGATGGGAGCATCAGATACATCGCATTCAGAAACCCAAAGCACAGTGCCATTCAGGAAAAGTTTCCATTAGATAAAAGGCCTTAAATAAATTAACACATTGGAAAGCAGATCTAAATACTTTCAGCCTTATGAAAAGGAAGCACAGTAACAAACTACATATATACAGAGCATAGCAACATCACAGAACAGGAAGAACTGCTCAAAGACCTTTAGAGAAAAAATAGCCACAAGCAAAGTGGAGAGCAAACATGAGTGAAGCACTTTTTTTTTTTTTTTTTTTAATACTTATTGCTATCATTTTTGAACAATGTCATACAGAAGCCTTCCATAGTAAACTGTAGGGGAATTTCCATCATCAAAATTCAGCTTCACTACAACTGATTAAACCACCGAAGCAGAGCTAAATGCTGCAGTAAAGCGAAGCCTGCAGAGAAGAGACTGAAATAGGTGTAAGTGATAAACATGAGATACAAGTTTAATACAGAAGGGTATATAGTGAAACCTTGCAACCAATTACCTTTGGTTCAGATTAACCCAGCAAGTGTTCATTTGGTCAGTGGTTTCCTTCACCCTCCTTGTGTCATCCTCACGATACTCTCGAAGAAGTTTATTAGAAAGATCATTGAACGCAGCTACTGTGATGTCTCCCCTATGCAAATCGTGTACTAACAGCTAAAAAGGAATTTCAGAATAAGACATCAAAGCAAAATCAAAATCAGACTGCTTTTCATATTATGCAATTATCATTATAATACCTTCTTTTATGCTTAAAAAAGCAGGAATGTTTATAATTCTTTTATGGAATAAAATTCCTTTTAAAAGGAAAATCTACTAGATAACAAGCATCCTAACAATGAACCAAAACACAAGTGAGAAAAGTTATATTGCTAAAGCCAGCAAGAACTAGGAAAACTCTCCTGTATGTCTTACTGACAACAGAAGTAAAAATAGTTTTAGGTTTTAGCAGCGTGAACAAATTTAAGTTATGCTAACAGTGATACAACTGGCACGATACAGAGTTTTGAATAAAATAAAATATATATATAATTTATTTATTAATCAGTTGTATCTTTTTATCTCCAAACTCAATGTTTGGGCACATCTAATTTCACTTGAGAAAGCAAAAAGGTAGACCTAAGAACCCATTTCCAATTCTCTGCTCACACAGGAAAGGCAATGAAGAACAGACAATTTTACTGCTAACTGAAATAACTAGGGGTCAGTGAGAAATACTCATTACTAAACTCTTTGCTTCTTTCCATACCTAGCCACATCCACATACATTATGTCTGTTTATATACGTACACACATTTTTTCGAAGTCTATTAAAGATTGTTCTAAGTTCCACACTGATAAAAGCCCCTCCTCAATCATTACTCTCTTTAGTTCTTGCCCTGAGCCTGCCCTTTTTCAAACAGCCACCACAAAGAACATCAAATTTACTCATTTATCACAGCACGTTCACTGTGATACAAAAAGCAACAAAGATTACATGGAATTGAGGGAAAAAATAAGATGAATATGCTTTGTATCAATCAAAAGTGAAACTTGGGATACTTTTAAATAACTTCTTCCATGCCTGGCTTTACTATTGTTAATAAATTTCTGCTACATGCTGTGGTTCTATGACAAAACTATCTATACAAGGACTTTTTGCGTAGCATCATTTATCAGATTATACTATGCTCCTTTCAGCCACACTTATTAAAAGCACACAAGTAGTCATGCCACCTGTTTTTCTCTCAAAAGTAATTCTCAGGAAGGCTGATGAAAAAAAGTGATTTAGAACATAGAGTGTCCAAAATCACAGAACCACCACATCAACCTTACAATTAAATCTTACATCCAGATATCAAACGAATCCAATATTATTATACAGACCGAGAAGTCACTGCAGCTGGTCTTACCTTGTTATCTGAAATCTGTTTGACAAGCACCTCCTTTGGGGCCTGCTGAAGCATACGCAGACGGATCTCACACTGCTCCATGAGATGCTCCATTTCTTTCCTCTGCTCATCCCACTGTATGCTGTCTGACAGCATGTACTTCAGCTGCTGCTGCCGCACCTCCACACCATGCTGGGTGTTATCCCATTGGTTCTTTACTTTTTCCACTGGAGAGGACAATATAAAAAAAGAAAAAAAAAATGAGGTAACCAATCAAGTATCCCTAACTACCACTTACTCCTCAGGACAAGAAGCAATAATGTAACTCATTTTCAAATACAGTCACTTCAATAGTTTAGTTCCTCAAGTAATTTATATGTTCATGAAAGTAAACAAAAAGTAGGGGTTTGACTGCCTCTTGGTTAAGCAGGTCAGCACACAAGTAACAACTATATTTCTGGAAGTCTCCAAAGGCATTACCCTTTACTTTTTACATGTTCACAGGAGGTAAATTTGCCACAGCTGCACAGCAGAGATGCCACCATAGATCCGCCACCAGTAGAGTTTCCAGGGAGCACCAGGGTAGGGTGAAGGCTGTGCCACAGCTAGTCACCTTTTTGCACTTAAAAAGTGAACTAAGGTTTACTGACCACTGTGTGTGTTGAACTCAGTCTAGCCACAGTTGTTGTGCAGGTGGTACTAAGGTAGGAGCACTCCACTAACAATGTGCTTTAGTATTTTCACTCCACCACAGGGTTCTACAGGCTTGTGTAGATTATACAACAGAGAAGTTATTGATCTTGTCCCATTTCCTTCAAATATCTCCTCTCTCAATAAATAGAGTTACTTTAGACAATCAATAAACAAGCTTCAACCTTTAATAAACAAAGAATGAAAAAGAAAACATGACTGAAGCCTAGAGCAAAATAATAGCATCAGGGGAAGTAGTAAGTCTGCCTGACAGAAAGAAACCAACAGCATCATACTTTTTTCCTTATACTTACAGACTAATAAAAAAAGGTATATTTCTTGAGAGTCTGTAGAGCTAACAATAGGTCTTCCCTACTACCTGTCATGACAGTAGCAACGCGTTGTATTATTTGAACTGAAGAGTAAGAAAAAAAATGTAAAAAAGAAAAAGCAAAAAAACATCTAAGCTGGCTTTCTTGAGAACATCTGTATTCTCAGCAGCAACAAGTAGGCAATAAGCAACAACACCAAGGTAATTACCTTACCAGTAATGTATGTAATTTTACTTTATTAGAAAAGCAATGTAATTGATACTCAAGTTGCTTTAGTTTTTCATGAAGTTGCTTTAATCCTTCACTAAGCAAAAAAATGCCAAGGCATGTGTTTAAGCTAAAAATCACATAAGTGAACTTTACCCTTTGCAGGTTGTTTTGTTATTTTGCTTTTTTTGTTTGTTTTGTTTTATAAATCTTTTATGAACATCCAAAGTCATTTTCCTTGATCTGCCTGGCAGGATCTCTTATCTTTAAAAATACATCCAATAATATTCTGTTCAGCTTCACAGAGCTCTCAGACTGTGGCAGTGAAGCGCCTTTGCCAGATTGACTATAATTTTCTGCCATGATGTAGGTCATTGAATGAATTGAATGAGACCTCAGAAGAAAACTTCAGTAACCCCAACAGCAAGTGTATATACAAAAGCAAAAACAGCAGGAATGAAAAATGGGTATAATGCTGTGTGCTGGCTAATAGACTGTAGAGTAAAGTCTCCTATGATTTTAAGCTTTCCCCACAAGGCTGGAAGGAAAAATATCCCTGTGAAACAACTATCTAAACAGCAAGTGGGTTGAAATTGATACACATTTGACATTTCTATACAGATACTATTAATGAATGAGTATACCTTGAATTTCTGTTACAGATTTTTTCCTATGAATGGACAGGTTAACCTTACTCTCTGTCTTGGATTGAAACTTTTATCCACTCAAGACACCCTAATGCAATTATCTGCTATTGATATATTTCCTTTTCCTTCACTCCCTGACAATGAAATTCTTGGTGGCCTCAAGGATCTGCCTGTAGGTTCAAAATTGGGAAAGAAATCTCAATTACATGTTGTTTTCAATTTCCTGCATCTGGGCAGTTACTACTAAGCAAGTTCTAGAGAAACTTTACTTCTGTGCTCCCAGCTATTTGAGTAATTAGGCTTCATCTAACGACAGTTAGCAGATTTGCAAGCGTATATTCTCCTGAGCATTTAAAGAATGAGATGTACAAAGCAGTTCTGTCCTTCACTTGAGAAAAGAGCAAACTACTACAAAGCCCTTATCACAGAAACATACTGTTCTTTACAAATGTAAACTTCACGTTTTTCATGTTTTGTAACAGGTGGCAAAATTTTCACATGCATAAGGTATCTACTGGAAGCTTCATTTGTGGCAACATACGTAGCTTCTCTGATTCTATCTTTAGAAAGAACTGCTATCAGGAAACTCAACATCAGTTTTCAAAATACAATTTCTTTATTCTTTTTTATCTTTTGTGAGGGATGCTTTGCAATTGACCAAACCTCCCCTTGCTGACTCCACTGAACTACAATAGCTACCATTCTACTACCAAACTACTCTGCAGAAAAAGATGACAAAATATATCTTTTCATTGTTCCATAGATTCTTTTTTCTGCTAACTGCAGTATTTCCTGCTGCACTAATTTTCTAACCTTAGCAACTGGCAAAGCCTCAGGAGTTCAAAGAATATGACGTCCCCTGTTTTCTAATTGTGTCAGTTGTGTTTTCCTTCCGTAAGTACCAGTAAAAGAAATTTTCAAAGTATTTATTTGAAGTACACACGAATGACTTAAAAGCTCTAATTCTCAGTCAACAATTTCAAAAGTTAGTTGTCCAAGGCAATACATTCATGCTTTTCTTTTACCAATTGTCCAGCGTAATGCAGGATCAGCAAAAATAAAAATACATTAGTAGGTCCTTTACATCAACAAATAAAAAGCCTTATAAAATCCTTATCTCTGGCTCTGTGTCTGTCAAGTAACTCAAGTTTTTCATAAGTTATTTTAAAATCCCAGCAATACAGCAGGTTAACAAAATAAATAGCAAATCTTCTTCCAAGAATTTTCATTAGACTTCTATAATGAAACCCATGTAAATGCTAATTTTCAGTTTACTTAAGAAAGACAACTTCAGCTGGGTCAAAAATAAAGAATTTAAGAGAAAGAGATGAAGATTTTACCACCATGGAAACACTATCTTTAAAAATCACAGAATGGAGGAACTTACATTTTTCTGTAATCACCGTTCTAACGTCTGAACTGGAAGTTTTATTTTTCAAATTTTGAGCCAGTGTAAAAACAGAATCAAGCTGAGGGTGCCGTTGGTCCAAATCTGCCTTTGTTATCTGTTAAGAATTAGGATATGGTTTTTAGGTACAAAAAACAGGATTTACTTAACATTATCTGTATTGCTTATACATAAGACTAAGCATCTATGTCTCCAGAGACAGATGGCAGCTTCATCACTATTTACAACCCTTGAGCTGTCACAGTATTATAGCACTGCTTTAAAATGCAAAAGTATTCTGAATTACAAGTGAAAATCCAGATGTGGAAGCTAACCCGCACAAATCACAGTTACAACCAGTCATTGTGAAATATTTTCCAGTGTTTTTCTCTCTTCCATAATTTATTTTTGCCTTACCATGCTCTGATCTTTATAAAGACACAAATGCAAATGCACACATTTACAGGGAGATGGGTAAGGTGGAAGAATAGTCAGCATGGACTATAGACAGAACACGATAATTCTTTCAACTATGCCTATGTACTAGCACTTCATATCATAAGCATCATACAGTTAAAAGATAGCATTTTCACATTTATTCTATCAAATACCAAATGATGTTAGATGTCCTCAGAAATAGAAATATTAAGCCTATAGCTTGTACGCATACAGTTACTCATGTTAATTGATATCAAGTCAAATGCAAGGAACCTTAATGGCAGCATACATCTCACAAAAGCTGCCCTTTGTCACAGCTCAGCACAGCATAAGCCATCAACAAAAAAGTATTTACACCATGATCATTTACATTAAAACCTATAATCTCTTTAACATGTCTCTGGAAATCAGTTTAGAATAGTTACAGCACAACAAAATTCATTAAAAAATCACTACTAAGTGGATCATACAGGTCATCTTTCAGTGATGCAGTACTGAAGCTGTTCCAAAGGCTTCAGCATAAGTTCTCTATATATAATCACTAAAGATACCATCTGCAGTTCTTCTCTGTGTGTTTTGTTTAAATTAAATAAATAAATAAATAGCAGTGCCTATCTCACATCTTGCTCATGAAGGGAGACGAGGAATTAAGAGGAAATAGTAGAAGGGAGAGTAGCATAATATCAACAGATTTTTGAAGTGCAATTTGCAGGTTAAGCGTTTACGGTAGTGGTTTTGTTCTGTTGTTTTTTTAATACATTTTTAGCCTATATGTTTAGTCAAGTGTCTCCTAATTTTCCAAACCACCAGCCTTCACTAAAACACATACTTTCATTCGTGCAATAGTCCGGTTGATATCTTCAGCATTTCCCACGGTGACTATGTTTGACTTGAGCATCTGGTCAATCAATACCAACCATTCAGCCAGCTCAGTTGTAGTTTTATCCAAATCAGCAGGTGCAGAAAGTTCCAAAGCATGCTGTGTCTGAACAGGAATTTCCAATGAAGAAGATACTAGCACCACCTTTTGGACATCTGAAAGAGTTTGGTATTTTCATTAAAGAAAAAATCACAGCTACATGTACAGTTTGGAGAATTGCTTTTCTTTTATCTTTTGGTAGTTTCTATGAATATATGAATACGTAACAGCATCTAAAAAAAAGCACACAGCAAGATCTGCATTTGAGACATTTTAACCCCAAGAATTTAAGTCACCATGATGGTTTTTTGCTCGTTTCGAAGCTATTAATTATATCATTGCATGGCAAAGGGCCCATGAATACTATACAAATGAGAAAAAAAACAAAATAGCATTAACTTTTAACAGAACGAAGCTAAGCCCTCCTTGATGTAAAAGGAAGTTGATCTCTAAGCATATTAAACAATCATTTAATTTAAGGTAAAAATCTGAAATTGCCTTTCTCACTTCTGTGTTATTTGACAAAAAGGTTTTCCCATTCTTAACTCAGAATCCACTTAAGAAGAAGTAAGTCAAGTTACTACAACAGAGGCTTCACAGACTTGGCAATACATCACCGTCCTACAAAGGTTTGTATGATATTGTAAAGAGGGAGGAATGGGCTGAACAGTAGGATTCTCTCCAGAAGTTGTTTCACAGTGTTCTTGATCCAAGAAAACAAAGTTAAATCAAGCTGAAGCATAAATATTACACACTTGCCACAACAAAAGACAGGAGCTTTACTTAAGAAATAGTCTGTACAAAAGAAAAACAAGCTGAATCAGAGTTCTGAAAAGCCAAAAAGTTTTCTGTGCTCCATGATTTTTAATTTTATTTATTTATTTATTTTTGCTACTACTGAACTACAGTAAAAATACTGAAGTTCAAACTGTAATTTCTCTTAGGCAAGGACTGTCTTTCTAAAATGGAGACCTAGGAATCTTGTTTACACACAACCTGCTTATCCATCTCCGATAACTTTTGAAAAATACAGCCAGTATGAATATCTGATACAAGACCATATTTTTCAACAGCTTCCCTTACAGAGTTCAGAAAAATAACTAACTGGTATGTGGGAAAAGACCTGTCTGTGCTCTTACTCAGCCAAAATACACAGAATGACATTTATAGGACTGCAGAGAATCTGTATGCAGGATAATTAACTGTAAATAAACATTGGATCTCAGTTACTAAGAGGCACAAATGCAAAAATGCACAAATCCACTGGGAAACAAACAGTCACAGACAGAGCTAGTTTGGATATTTTTTCCTGTACCTACAACACTGGCTCTTGATGAGGAAATCTAAGCTTTACTGAAACATTCTTCTGCTTCAGCACATTTAAAGGAACATCAATGGACAACGTCCAAACCTGAAATGCAAACTAACTTTTTCCTTAAACAGATATTCCCTTTCTCTCTCTCTCCCCTGATAACAGGAAGGAAGCCCCAAGCAAACGAAAACATTTCTTATTTCCATTTGTCTAAGTACTAGGGAAGGTTTTCCTTTTTAGATTGCTTTTTGACTACAAACAGTATTAAGCTCAGTGGAAGGAATGACTACTCACCAGAAGGCTTTGCCTGTGCAACAAGGTGAGGCTGCCCAATAAAAGCCTCCAGTTGTCTCACTCTGTCAGGCACTTCTCTGAACACCTGCAGCCCAGAAGAGAGGAAAAAAAGCAGTGAGTAAATCAACATTAATAGCAAAACTTCATGTATTAGAGCACATACAACATTTTACATTACACTTGTTATACTGGTATGCTTCGTATCTCAATAAAGTTTTTCAAAGTATCATTTAAAAACAATAAAAATGCTAAAAGGTGCTCAGTATTTGTCTTTCCAAAGCCTTCCATATCTTACCTAACCCTTGGAGAGAAATAAATTAACTTTTATAGATTAGTTGTTTGCATGTTTGTTTGTTTTTTTACTGTCCAGGTATGAAAGGCAAGACTCACTAGGCACACTTCAAAGAAATGCTCATGATTTGTGATCACAAAAAACTAAGGCAATACATAATTAATCTAAAAATTAATTTAAAAAAAAATCCTCTTGCAGTGAAAACAAATTGGCCTGCTGTTTCCAGAAGGCAATGACAGAAAACCAAAAACAGTATGGCCAGCAGGTTGAGGGAGATGGTTCTACCCCATTTCAACTCAAAACATTCTATAATTCTATGACTAAACATTTTTGATCCAGCTGTTTGAAAGAAAGCCAATGCAAAAAAAAAAAAGAAAAAGAAAAAGAACAAAACAACAAGTAAACTAATCAATTTATTCTGATGAAATAACATTTACCAGGGTTTTCATGCAGACATGGATTCATGCCTGGGAGACAGTCCCTCAACATGCACACACCTCCCAAGACATTTCAGATGTCACAGATACATGGAAAAAGAAAAACTATCACTCTGAATACACCACTATATTTTCAACTTCAGGTAAAAATGCTGAAGAAATACACACCTTATTCCACCTCACATTGAGGGACTGCAGGCTATCAGAAAGCTTGTTTTTTTCCTGAAGATCAACATTTTTATCCAGAATAACTTCAGGTTCAGTTCTGTTCAACCATTCCAGTTTGTCTCCCTGTACTTCCATCTCTTCACTTAAGACCTAAAACGGACAGAACAGTTTTGGACTGAAGTCAAATGTATAAATGTTAAACAATAACAAGAGGAAAAATTTTCCTTTTGCTCTAGTATTTAGAAATTTCCTTCAAAATACGTAACAGAAGCAGCTTTTTGTTGTTTTTTGTATGTTTATTCTTGGTAACGTGTGGAAATTATTAAAACAAATATTCAAAGATCAACATTTATTACTAATTGGAGAACACATGCAAAGGGTACCTACATAGCCTTGTATCACTCACATCAATTCTGACCTCACAAGATGCTTCTATTTGACCATTTCTGGATGCATCACATGTATCCAAAAGTCAATGCTCTTTTAATCAAAATTATAACCTGCCTTAGTTTTAGAAATAATTTAAAAACTAAGGGCTCGCTCCTGGCATGAGCCAGGATGTAGGAAACTATTGTCACAAGATACTTTATTCCTAATGATATGTGTTCTAAAGATAGTTAAAAACTTAACGCAACCTTAAAAGTCAACTTTGATCAACCTCCCATAGTCTTCTTTTTCTTTAAGATCCTGCAAAAAGAGTGTTACGCATGGGTGCACTTCCCACTGACTTTTAACATAACTATGCTATCATTTGCCCATAAGACCAAAAGCACTACAGAGTGAGAATCACAAGTTTGCCTTTAAAGCACTAGAACAAACATGTGACATTAGCAAGTATGCATTGTATTCATCCACCCTAATATTTATAATATTTGTAAAGCACATTACTATGAGGTGTGTACATGAAAGCAACAGGAACACAGGCCTGAAGGTAGTTCACTGGTTAGAATTAGCAGAATACCAAATAGTACCTTTACTAAATTTTCAACCATCTATTAAAAAAAATAAGTTTGTGTTATTTATTTTTGTTTGAATTAGATGTCTATTTTACTTTTCTTCATTTAGAAACCTCCTCATTCCAGATAGTATTTACTCCTGACTGATCAGTTAACATCCATTACTCCCACTTCCCCAGTAGCAGTCTTTAATAACAGATCTTCTCCCCCATGTTATCCTATTTCTTCTCACCATCTCTCTTCTCATTGTTCTTTGGCTATACAAAACAAGGAAAGTTATCCAAGTTGCTTTACCTATGAGGAATTCTTCACCCTCCTGAGCAGCTCAGTAATCTTACTAGTACTTTGAATTCACTTCCCTAATTAGCACAATCATAATTGCAAATGCTGTTCCTGCTGTGATGGGTCCAAATACGGTATTTAATTCCCTGCCAGTGCTTCTCTAGTAAATTCTTATATCACACATGCACGCACACACACCCCCTACGATCCACTTCTACCTTTCACTTCAGGAATTCACAAGAAAAATTAAACTTGCACAGCAGCCAGTCAGCAGGTACTCAATTGATTAAAAAGAGAGTGAACTTGTTTAGGCAAATACAACAGCAACTACTTTACATCACTTACATACATTTGTTGCAACTTCAAGGCTTTCTAATTTGGTCTAGCAGTAGACCTCTTTTTAACTGTTATTTTAAAAAAATGAGTAACTATGATTATTGGATTCTTTTTAGTATTCCAGAAATATTCTCTTTCACACATCCTTAAATTAAAGATATTTTGCTATCAAAGCCAGGCACAAAATAAACAGGAAAAATAACATACATATACACAACTAAGTAACGGAAAATGACCAAACCCTTTAGTAGTTTAAACAGCAGGTTAAATACAGTCTAAAGCATGCAATAAAGTATTAAATCTGCCCAATAAACAAGACAGTGGTGCTTACATACCCACCTGTCCATTTATCAACTTGTCCATTCTTACAATACCCTTTTAAACCTACGGACTTTTGCTGATGTCTTCAGAACTATAAAGTAGACTTGTGGGTATTATCCTGAGTAAAATTCTTTTTATCAAATTCTATCAGTTGTATATATGCTTCTCACTTTCTGAAACTGCCTTCATCATCTGGCTAGATAACCATTATCAATTCAACCTGATTTCATTACAAAATGCTACCTGCTTGTGTAAGTAGTCACACGGAACTCTCACACAGTCAAACATATTTCTTTACCAATTAACAGTGAAAATATTCTCCAAAAGTCACATTCTGATATTTTGCATGAAACATACACATGCATATATACACACACTCAAGGATCTTGCCTGTAATTCTCGTAAATTTTCTTCATGGTTGAATGTAAATCTCATGTCCAGAACATTTTCTGCATTTTCCAACCAGCAACGCAGTTCATCAAGCTTTTTTCTGTAATCTATCAGCTGCTGATTCTCTCCCTTTAGCCTTAAAAAGGAAAACAAAATATCTACATGCACTTCTGCAGTAAACATGACATGCCAGTCAACATTTTCAAGCTTAATCTTTATAGCTTCCTATAACATTTACAGAGGAGGAAACCTTGTATCCTCAGACACACTAAAAATTCATGTATTTATCTTAGAATATTTCACACTTTAATCTTTGAAGGAAATTTAGGGCTCATTCACAAAGGATTTTTGTTATGTTCAGAAAATAGCCGGTCAGTTGTATTAAATGGCTGCAAACAGACTGAAGCTTTTGTTTTGAAGTATTGCTCTTGACTTCCGCCATACAATTGTTTCAATTAGCATATCTTTGACAATGCAAAAACAGAAATCAAGGTAGAATACTTTCAGTTTAGCTTCAGCCAAAAGAACTAGTTCAGTGTTCCTTCCAAAAAAGCTGTCTGGCTTAGCAATGAAATGATTCTGAAAAAGAAGAAAAATCAGGAGTAATACGAGACAGTTAAAAAAAAAAAAAAGTCAGAAAAATTCAGATAAATGACAGCATGCAATAGAATACACTAACTCTCACAGAGTCTGCTAAAAGAGAGTCTCTTCATCACATCTGGCCAGATATCCAAATTCCTGAGTAACTTGTTACCTCAGCTGTCTATCCATGACCTCAGCAGTGATTGCTTTCCAGTGCCTATTCAGTCCTGCCAGCTTCTCCTGCAGGAAGCTCCCATCTGTAGCAGAGAGTTTCTGTATGATCCCTTCCCCAGTTCTGTTCAATGCCAAAACACTGCTCTGATGGCTGTGTACTCCTTCTTCAAGTTCCTGTCAGAAAAAAAAGCGACACAATTTTATTACTGACCTGAGATGACTTTGATCTATGGCTCATAATATGCACAATAAATCATGAGTGAATATTGTTTTACTAAAATAGGCACATGAAGTTATCTTACTTAAAGTTGGATGCTGTTATTTAAATTATTAAGTCTGTTATTAAATATGGTTTAATTTTCTAACGACTGTCATAAAAAAGAGATGATGATACAGAATACACTACTGAATACTACCCAGGATCACAATTATTCAAATGATCAGTGTTAGAATTCACGCTTGCTTTTGATTCCTTTCCAGTACTGCTAACAGATACTGAAACTATTTAAAAAAAAATTTATTTTTTTTTTTTTTACAACTATTTCTTCTCGTAAACCATGGCCCTGTCTATTTCTGTAACTTAACACTATATTAGCTAGGATCTTCATGCCTGTGCTCTCCAAACATCACAACAAATCCATGAAACTAAAGTCAGAAGATGTCAGGATCAGAAATTTAAAACATTCCTTGGAACTACAGCAAGCTTACAATATTAGGACAAATTTCTCTGCAACCAGAACAGAAACAAGATAATTCAAAAAAGAGATGGGATATGGCAAAGAAAAAAAAAAAATCAAGCAGTAACAAGGATAAAATTAAAAACTATGTGTTAGGATAATACTTGGATAGTCACTCCTTACACAGAAGAAAAATAAATAAATCAGACCCTTAGAGCAATGTTTTCCTCTCTTTTAGCGGAGAGTAGCTAAACAGAGAAGTCTGCTATTTCATAATGCGGATCGAGAAAATTATCAAGTAATTAAACTGTAGTTTAAACTACAATATTTGTATATTAGCTACAATATTTATAATTAAATTGAATTCTGAAGCAATAAAATCTAAGGCAGCCATAACTGAAATCTCTTCATTTTCTAGATTAAACAATACCAGTATTTGAATTATCAAATTAAGTCAAAACTATTCAAGACAGAAGTCATTATACTACAAGCAGGAATTGTGATCTTCTCCAGGAATCACTTTAAACTACAAAAGAAAGTTACATTAATTGAAGTCTCATTCATGACTCACATAAAAGGAACTATAATTTTAGACAAAAATCTAGATTTTCTAGCTTGTCCCATTACTGCACCTATTACACATACCTGCTGATGCAGCCCAGCTGTCTGCAGATCCAGGCTACCATCTGGACCACGGGCATCAGCTAATAACCCTTCGGCTTCTGTTATCCACTGAGAGAGGTCATTGAGATCACAGTGGAACTGCCTCCATGCTTCAATTGCTCTATCAAAGGAACTGTAAAAACAACACATTGAAAAATTATCCAACCATTTCAATGAAAAGACTAAAATTTTTGATCTAGTGATATTTAAGAATTCCATACAACTTGACTTAGAAAACAGCTAAAGAGTAGCACATAGCCTGGATAAATAAGTCCCAGCACTGAAAGCTTCCTGACATGGGAATAGCTGGCAAAAGCCAATAGTATAACTTCCAGCTGAAGGAAAAAAGGGCAGTCTAAAGCACACTTTTGTTTCTAACACTTGGAGAAATAAAGATTGATTAGCTGTATCAAATTGGCCAGCAGAACCTTTTTTCTTTACTGTAAAGCAGTTCAGACATCAGATAGTATGAAATATCAAATATGATTAATTGCTCAGATTTTTTAATTTTTTTTTTTAATTCATACACCATGCACTGTTGGTGCTAGACTTTTAACAAATGAAGGTGATTTTGACAATATAGAAGTGACTGTATTACCAGAAGACTTGTGCAAGTAATTCTATAATTTAATCACACATTAATTTCCCATACATTTTGCTATGATTTTCATCTTTGCAGTCTCAAACGAATGTGAAGCTTAGCTCAAAGAGTAACATTTTCAAGTATGGAAAAAAACTGAATTACCACAGTCAGAAAGTTGTTTCCAATTTAGAGTGAATGTTCTACAATGCTAACAAAGTTAAAAAAAAAAAAAAAAGAGTCCATATATGCTAAGTAAGAAAGCCATGTCAAAAAACATAGACAAAAATTATTTTCAATTTGTTGATTGCTAAAAAAAAAAAAAAAAAAAAAAAAAAAAAGGTACCATTACAAAACAAAGAGGACAAATGTGTCCAAGGACACAGGATTTGAGACAAACAACACTTAGCAGCCTTACAGTACCTGAAGGGGGCCTACAGGAAAGCTGGGGAAGGATTTTTTATAAAGGCAGGCTGTGACAGGATGAGGAGGAATGGCCTTAAACTGTAAGAGTGCAGATTCAGACTAGATATTAGGAAGGAGTTCTTTACTGCGAGGGTGGTGAAACTCTGGAACAGGTTGCCCAGAGAGGCTGTGGATGCCCCCTACCTCGAAGCATTCAAGGCCAGGCTGGATGGGGCTTTGAGCAACTGGTCTAGAGGGAGGTGTCCCTGCATATAGCAGGAGAGATGGAACTAGATCAACTTAAACATCCCTTCCAACCCAAACCACTCTATGATTCTAACGCAAGTTCTACATTACCTCTTGTAGACTAGAGAGTATCTCATTCCAAAATAATACCAAGAGTATTCTTCAAAGAGACACACAGGAGGCCAGATCTCCTGCTAATCAGAAGGTCCTCACTGATGTGAGGAAAAGCATCATTTGCAGCCCATTATTTTTGTCTTAAGAAATTCCAACCATAAAAACTTCAAGGTTACTGTGTGTATCCAGATGTAACATGAAATTAGCACCACAGAATCAAAGGTATCCAAAATCAAACTTTAAAAAGCTACATTACATCTATTTTCTTCACTAATTAAATTCAGCAATTCCAGAGTTCTAGAGAGATTATTTTTATCAGAATTGTATCTCATTTTTAATCAAGGCTCATCCATATTTCCTGGCACATACAGAGCTTTGTTTCGTTACTATTTGTCATGTGGTCTAATTCCAATAAAGAAGTAAGCAAAAAAGAAAAAATTCCTACTTAAATTTTTCTGACCCTATTTTCCAGTTCTACTGCATCATTTTCTTGCATACATCCCATTGCAATACATTAACTAACCTGTAAACTGACCCCAAATTCCCTTCTCCTTTTATTTCTCATGTACATTTTACAGACTTTAACTGAACATATTGTCTCATGGTAGTATCTCATTTCAGATTTAATGTGAAGATATATTCTAAGCACTTAAAATAGTTTAAAAGAATATTTTAATGAGTTCCTTCAAAATGAAAATTTCTGAGGCATAATTTTTTTCTGAATCTAGAGTTTAAGAACAGTACAACACTGAGATAGAAAGTTTTCATGGTTTCAGTTCCCAGCCTACAGTTACATCAGTATTTTGAGCATAGATCTGTGGTTTCACTCAAATTTTGAGGTAGATGCATTTGCAGTTGTTTCAACACACAGAATCCCTGGGCTGAAAGGTAAAAGTACAAAAGTCCTGTAAGCATACCACCAAGATTTGCCACCCACATGCTTCCAAGCCACAGCTTGGATATGAATTCCCAAATCACCAGCACTTTTAACTCTGGTGGAAAGTTTGTGACAGAAGAAGCAGAACAAGCAAACCAGCACAACACAGGTTGTTGAGGCTGTGTATACACACACACACACACTTGCACATGAAAAACCCACAAACATTTTGATTTACACGTGTTTAAATCAAACCAAGTCAATCAGATTCAGTTGAGTGCTTAAAGGCTTTGTAAGTGCAACTGAATTCTACTTGTGCTTGGCTACATTAGAGCTTTTATCCAAGACTTAACTACTTAGTTGGAACTCAATCAGAAAATCATTAGTAGCTCTGAAAACTAATCAGTCTTTTGCCAAGCATTTCAGATGCTGTTTCTACTAACCCTGTCAAAATCTACACACATCCTAGAAATTGAAAAAGCCAGAGATTACTAAGGAAATAGATAATTTTAGTCTTCTTTCTTATACTTAGGACAAGATTGGATAAATGTTCTGTTAAAAAAAAGTCTCAGGAACAAAAAGGATTAAAAAATACAAATACCAAAATACAGTACTTTAACACTGATGCTAAAATTGTCTTCATTAATTAAAATGCATCATCCCATTAAAATTGTAGCACTTGATATATTCAGGAAGTTGCATTCCATTTTTGCTTAAATTCCTAGTCCAGCAGTCTTTTTTGCATGAAAATTGTGCCCAATAATATCCTCATTAAAATGCAAAGCTTTACAAATGTTATGAAGTTGAAAAGTAATTTATATTCAGTGAACTAACTGAGAAGGTGATTTGTTGCCTTTTGCCTGCTAATCATCAACACCGAAGTTACTCTTTGACACAATTATCTTTTTCAATAGGAAGATTAGATTTCCAGTTAAACCTGGCTACTTAATGAAATGAAATTTTAGTAGTAAATGAAATTTTACTGACGCTTACAGAAAGATAATATTAGTTAAAGCTTTTAAATTAAGTCATAGGGAGGAAAAAGGCATAACTAAGAGCTCATTGTGAACCATGCTTATGAAGACAACAATATAACTGCAGGCATGATCAGTAATGACAGGTACAAGATTCTGCAACCTTTGTCTCCAAATGTTGGAGGGGACCATTGGCAGCCAGCAAAAACATAGCAAGCGATACCCAGCAAGAAACACTATTGTCAAATTAAAACATAGTGAAACAGCAATACTTGCTGATGCTTTAAAAATTCTGATGCTTCCCTGATCCAGTGGCTCAGAACTTACTGGAGTATCTGCTTAGACAACGACACCAACCATTTTTATCTTTATTTTCACTGTCAGACTTGTCAGACATTTGTAAAACACATCTGTTCAATGCATAGTATGTGCACCACTTGATCACAGACACCAAGCATTCTCAACTTACCATTTACGATCATTGTACATTCTATTAATTCTGTCCCACTCTGCATTCAGCTGGGTTAGTGCATCTCCTATCTGTATTGCTTCAGGCCCAGATGCTTCCAGTATAACATCAGGCTGCTTCTCATGTATGACTGCAATCTGATCCCCTAGTTTATCCAAAATATCTTTTACATTCTACAAGTACAAGAACAACATAAGCCATCAGTAAAATGAACGTGAGCAGGGAAAATTAATGTCCTCAGAATTTTATTCCCAAACAGTATCTACAATAACATAACTATCAACAGTTCATAGATAAGATCAGCTACAGCAACTGAACTTAACAGTCACTCACAAATTCTTCAGTGTTCTCAGTAATTTTTTTATGAAGAGGGTGAAATACTGTGTATAGCTGATGTGTTCCTAATGTAAAGGGACACACCGTATTTCTCAGAGCAGTACCATTGTTTTTAAACAAATCCACACTTATGTCATGAACACTGCTAATCCCTCCACTTCTTCCCTCCGAACGTTTAGAAATGTAGTACCTTCAGTGCATCCTCCTGAGTTGAAAAATCCTCATAGATGCCAGTATTTAGTTCAGGTGCATTCAGCAACAGCTCAACATCAGCCATGGCAAGTAAGACCTTGTTGATTTCAACCAGGTATTCAGCTGAAAAAGGCAGAGTCCTAACTCCTGTGGCGAAGTGGCTTTTTAACCTCTGCTGGACAGCAATTGCCTAGAAGTACAAAAGTTCATTTTATATTTCAAAGTGCAAGAAATTTTAAGGAAAAAAAAGTCACAAGCCAGTAGATTATATTCAGAATTAAAATATCTTAATTAATAAAGGCTTTTCCGACCAAGTCATGTCATTTCAGAAAGCTCCAAATCCTGCAGAAAACTATTTAATGAAAAAACAAGTTACAAAACAGTAGATAGCATACTTCACAATAAGACTGTATTATTCCTTATTAAAACTCTTGGGGGGGGGAAAGGCACTGCTGTCATATGTCTCACCTTGATTCTCAGCCTTCCAGTACAGAATCTTTGTGACTGAGCCTGCTTTCCTCATCAAGAATTCCCATAAGTTACAAATTTACTGAAGCAGATTCATCTTCTCTCCAGATTCTTCTCAGCAAGCATCCCCATCCATATTTCCCAGCTATTTTTAAATAAATTGATGCTTTACCAGTAATACAATATTAATTTTGCAGCAATAAGTGGTACTAACTCCTCAAGATGTTGGCAACTGCTACCTGCTCTGGCTGTAAGACCAGATCATGTAGCCAAGTACCATCTTAGCAGATTGCAGAGTAAGAACAGTAAGTTTGGGCAGCTTTTTCTTGAATTAGAAATCACACCCTCCATCTGAAGTGTAAGGAATCCAGCTGTAAGAAACTATACATGGCCACACCTAGCAAAGGTAGCTGAGCAAAGCAGATACTCCTAAGACTGAAGGCAATTTCTTGCTGAAAAAATTTTCTGTCCAACCAAATTCCACCATCACCATCTCTGAAAAGAACCCCATTCTTTAAAATCAGCATTGAAAATGTAAACCCACCTCCAAGTACTGAAGAATTCAAGCAAGTCACACTTCAGTACTTGATGAAATAGAATTCTCAAGAAGAAATACATAGAAGCACTTAACTGCCCGCGTGAGTTACTAACAGCAATGGCTTAGAATACACTTACGAGTGCAAAGGCATAATCATCAGCTCACAGTGGTTTCAACCACTGCATTTAAGTGGGCACAGACATGCAGACAGTTAGCACAGCTGCCAACAGTTAAAATATTAAGCCCCACTAACAAAGTTGCTGTGAACACCTATCTACATCTTCCTCCTCCACATGTTTCTGAGCATTTCAAATGTGTCACTCAAATTAACTTGATGTAACATATGTGGCGTATGTAGTTCAAAAGCAAAAAGGACTGCAGCAAAAAGGTTACGTTAAATTATTCACCATTCAGGATTTCTTATGCACAGAATATTCCTGAAGATTTGATTTATGTAGTTTAAAAGCACACAGCAACTGACATCAATACTGAGGACACAAGGTGTGCTCTCTCAAGAACTTTATTACTAAGCACGGTATGCTTTCAGTCATTCATTGAACATCAAAGGAACAGAATGCACAGGTACAAAAACTGTTAGTCTACTGAAACCAAGTACCATTATTTTTGCTTTAGTAACACTACAGCAAGCAAGTGGCATAGCAAAAGCTATAACCTACTATGTATGTTTTAGTTACATATCTAGCATCATGGTTCTTGATGCTCCCCAAAGAAACATTTTCTTGATGTGTTGCATATATTTTGCTAGCTTCCATCACTGGAATTTCGAGCAAATGCTGAAGGCTTTGGCAGCAATGTGATTCTTCTGTGGAGAAAGAGGTCCGCAGTTCCACAGAAATAAGACAAAGGCTGCACAATTGGAAGCAAATTTTACTCAGTAGAATGAGACATGATGACGTGAACAAGCATCAGGATGCCTGTCAGATCAGAAAACTTGCGAAGAATTTAAAAGATCTGTGGCATTCAGTGAACTGGCTTTCCACTTGCCGCCAATAATGATACACAGTGCAACTTGCTGCTTCCCCAACAGCCCTGTTCAGGGCCAGGTTGCTGCTCCTCTGCATGGCAGTACACCTCCTAGTGCTGCTCCTTCAAAGCACATTTCCTGCAGCTGTCTCTCATCACTGAGATGTTTGTTCCCTTCATAGCCCTTCCTCTAAGGGTGAGCATATGTAACCGTAAACTACAGCTAAGTGTTCTGCTCTTCTCTACTGTGCACTGCAGACTAGCAGCTTCTAAATTACAGCATTAATACAGTATTAAAAAAATGGAGTACATGCAAACATCTAAGTCTTATAAATGCTGGTATTTTAATTTAGGAACACAAGCCATTTTCTTAGGTATACTCCTAAAACTATAAATTAAAGATTATTTAGGAAGAGATTTGACAAGATGACAATAGTACATTCTATAAAAAAGAACTCTCAATGAGAGAGGTTAACAATAATTTTAACTCAATGGCTAAACAAAAATTTGTTTCCTCCCATATTTAACACATACCTTTTTGACCTACAGTTCTGTATTTGGTTTCAGATTTTCTTTCCCTTTCATCTTTTATACTTAAACATATTTTTAAACAAAATCTAACAAAGATTCTACTCAAGGCAATATTTTGACTTGCTTCCAAAGCGGATTTTTGAAAATACTGCCCAAAAAATTGACATAAAAATATAATGTGGAAGTCATAACCAAGCATTTACCCAGTCTAATTTCAGATCACCATGCATTACTTACCCCCTTAGCAAGTAAATACCCTTTAGACCAGAAAACGCACGCTTCTTAACTGATCTTTGTCCCTTCTCTCTCTCAGCCAAAATAATTCACAACCTTTTCAGGAGGAAAAGTTTTCCAATGCTAAACTCACACAACCATGTTTTCTTCTATATTAATTAGTGAACTCAGTAAGCAATATATTTGTTGACAACATTGCTACTGGTCCACATTTAAGTAAACCAAAACTTTCCTTGTAAAAAGCACAGTAGGCAAGCAAATATGTTTTCTTTGTTATTGGATAATCTGTGTTTCAGTTTGTAAGAGAAACAGTATGGTGCATGAGGCATCAAATTCACTCACCATCTGCAGAACGATCATTTATAATTCAGAACAGCTTTCTAAAACCTGGAAAACTGTCTCAGGAACTTTAGTCAACTAATTAGTTTTGCAATATAAGGTTTAATTTCTCTTTTCCCTCATTTACAGCTAAGTTAGAATAGAACAATTCAATAAATATTAGAACAAGGTTAGAAAAGAAGGAATTCAAAGAAATGTACAGCATATCACTATAAACTTATGATGTGGGCTTTTCTGCTCCCTGCAACTCCCTCACATCAAGGTGAGGTGTTGACCCAGCACTTAATTTAATACAGACCCATTTGTTCACTTGGGCTTATGGCTGAGAACGAAGCTGCCATACAGCAGTCACAGAATCACAGGAGTTGGAAGGGTCCCAAGAGATCATTGAGTCCAACTTCTGCTAAAGCAGGTATCCTACCATAGGTCACACAGGTAGGTGTCCAGGTGGATCATGAATATCTCCTGAGAGGAGACTCCACAACCTCTCTGGGCAACTTGTTCCAGTGCACCATCACCCTTACCATAAAGAAGATCTTCCATATGTTTGTATGGAACTTCTTATGATCAAGTTTTGGGCCACTACTCCTTATCTTATCACTATACGCCACTGAGAAGAGCGTGCCTCATCCATTTGCCTCCCACCTCCCTTTTAATCAAATCCCGTCCCGAGTCTTCTTTTTTCCAGGCTGAACAGACCTACAGGCTACTCAGCCTTTCCTCATAAGGCAGATGCTCCACGACCTTTATCAACTTTCTGACACTCTGCCGGACTCCTAGTCTGAAGCCTCTTGGATACATCAAGGGAGGTAGGGGATCAAGCACAAGTAAGATGGTAACAATCAGGAATGGAGGGATGTTGTTGTTAAGGTATTTCAGTAGAGTTCCTTCTCTGCTGATGCCAATGGCATTCTAAAGCAACTGTGTTCACCTAAAGCAGTGATTGTTTAGGGGAACGCTGTTTCCCTTCAAAAACAGCACAGTCCCAATTAAAAAATTTTTAAAAATAAATAAAATTTAGAAGATCAAAATAAGAAGCAGCAGCCTCAAGACACATCCTTCCTGGCAAGTGTTCAAGATCAATTAGTGAAGCAGAGGAGAGAGTAAGTGACAAAAACTGAACTACGGTCACCCGAGGCAGGCTGTCTTATCACTAAGATACCAGATGGCTGGAGACGCAGGAAGGAAAAGCAGCAGCTTCTTCAAAGCAGAAAGGAGAACTGCTCTGGTCCTCATCTGAAAGCCCTGTCAGACTAAAAATTACATCTGGAAGCGTAAGGATTTTTTTGCACAACAAAATCTGAACAAAGATAGCATTTTTCTTCATCCATAGTCTATTGTAATAGCTCTTGCAATCTGTAGTTATATGATCTTATATGATCTTCTGCATTCAGCACCCCGATACCAAGATGAAGGAATTTCTTCTATCCAGAAACGCCAAGGATTAGCTACAGTATGTCCCTAAATACTAAGACTTTAGTAAAAGCAAAGGATCTTCCTCAGAGAAGATCAGCCAAGGACAAGCAAGACCAACAGGGATGAGGAAGTCCAGTCTGAATCATAGTGTTGTACTTCAAACATGGAAAGATCCTCGTTCTTTCAAAGAAATTCCATTGCATATGTCAGATCCTAAGAAGCCCACACGCAAATACCACAGTAAGTCAGCAGGAGTGCCCACTGGGGACTCAACAGAGTAACCAGACAGGCAAGCAGACACTTAGGGTTGTTTCTGTTGCCTAGCTCTGTGCAGGAGGCTTATGATTCAAGTCTTCACAAAGAGAAGTAAAAAAAAAAAAGTTCACTTTTACAGCCTACACAAGGAAGGACAACAGGCTGCCAGCTACAGGTCTACAGCTATCATAGGCAGCTGAAGCCACATTACTCTATACCTGTGAATAAAGAGCACCACATTACAAATTCATGGATATGAGACTCATAAGGAAACAGTGCATTTTGCCTCTGTCTTTCAGTTAATTGGCGCAGAGTTAAAAAGTTACACAGCAGTCAAAAAGAGATCGATTGGTTTTAATAATGAAGGTTCATATGCAGAAACTGAGAATTACTTGACAGACTGCCTAACCCCCGAGCTTGTCCAAGAAATTACTTACTGCTTCACAAGGTTCCTGACTGTTATTGCCTAAAATATTAAAGCAATTACCATGCAGTCACATGATTTGAAAAGGAGAAATAATAATAAAGACAAAATAAAACACAACATACACCGCTGAAAGTATTTGTACCCTCAATAACTAAGAAACACAGGTTTTGGGGAAGTTAATTTTATCAGACCCTGACATCCTATTAAATCATTTGTTAAAGTGCTTGTCAAAACTCACTCGCACGCACTGTGGCACACAACTCTTCTCATAAAAAATACTTCAAATTCTGTCATTTTCTAAAAACTTTACTGTCTACAACAATATTAATCACGTGAGAGTATTTCTCATTCCCGTGCGTTTGAGGCAGTGAAGGGTAGCATCTTAGTAGTTACAATATTGCTATCACTGCACGCAGAGTTTAAGCTTCAAAACAGGTTTTTTTTCACACGTGCACCAATGAGACACTGAACCAGGCTATTTGATGCAGGGCATCAGAAACAGCTAAGCATAATCCTCATGTGAAGACCAACAACAGAAACTATCTTGATTTAACTGCTTTAAGATTTGAGTCTGATGGCTGGGATATATCGGACCTCTGACTACTATGTAGAAAACCCTAATTTTATACAGGCAGATCATTCCCTAATGAAAAATGAATGCTGTTATGTTGAAAACACTTCTTCCCAAAAAATTATCAAAAGAACAGCCATAATCCCTAATATATCAGCTTATATGCAGCCTTCCCTCCATTCATCCTAAGCAAAAAAGACTAATTTACCTGCAGCTTTTGTTCACCCTCCATTCCTTGCAGTCCTGGTAGTCGATGTTCAGCCTCATCCAGCCACTTCATTAGATTGTCATGGTCCTTATTATACTGAGAAAACGCTGGAGAGAGTTCTACCACTTGTCTCCTTTGAAATGACCTGCCTTCCTACAGTTGTGTATCAGGAAAAAGATAAAAATATATGAGAAGAGGGAAAGATAGGTCTTATACATTTGAAAAACGAAACTACTCTACAGATTCATCTGATGAGGAAAAATTCCAAAATATAGGATCATACAGCTGAATCACAGAATGGCTTGGGTTGGAAGATCATCAGGCTCTATCACCCCTTCCACAGGCAGAGCTGCCAACCACTAAATGAGGCTCCCCAGGACCTTGAACATCTCCAGGAATATGCAACAGTATAAGCCATTAAATTTTTTTTTCATAAATATACCATTTATCTGCACAGATTGTATCAAAGTCAGCCTAAGGGTCTTATCCTGCTATACCTAATCTGAGCTGTACGTCATTTTACACACTCAAATATGACTTAAACAGGAGAGTTGAAAAGAATATTAATATAGATCCATTTCTCCTTGACAAAAAAATGTTTTAAATATGATATGCATGAAAGCATTACTATATATACTAGAGTCAGAAATTAGTGGTAATACCCACTGTATAAACAGAGAAGAAATTTGGGGTCAGACTCACATTCACTACAACTTCTTAAAATGAGAACCCCACGAATATACTTGACTATGTTTGTGTGCACATGCCAATGTAGCCACTCTTAACACAGCCCTGTGGCAGAGATAAACCACTGCTGGAGTGTGAGAAGAGGCAACAAGTGAAGTAAATGCTCAGTTGTCTGCACCCACCTGTGCAAATATGCACACATTCTGTGACACTGTGAAAAGGAAAAATCAAAACCACTTCCTCAAAATTTTGTAATGACAAAATCCACAGTTTGGAATTGCAAACATTCAAAGAATCAGGCTGGATGTATGCACATTTAACTCTTCTACAGACACTCTTACATACTAAAAAAAAGTTATATCCAGATACTAAAGGGAGACCAGTATAAATGAGCTGCAACTCTAATAACTACTGTAAACATACCTGTACATTGTTGTACTTTGTCTGCAGAAGCACCAGCTGCATGCGTATCTTCTCTCTCTTATTGTCTTCCATAGGCTGCTGTAACAGCTGTCCTCCTCTCTGTAAAACCTCCTCAATCTGAGCTCTTTCTTGATCCAGCTAGGTACAGACAATTACATAGAAAGAAAATTTAAAAAGTTAAAAAACACACAAACATTTTGCACTTTATTACTTCCACAGTAAACCAGCCTTATAACATTGAGTAGAAAAAGAGAAAAAAAGATGCACATCAAAGTTCACTATCTGGAGTAGATTATATAATACCATAATGAAAATACAGACTATGCAAGAAGCAGCAGCAGCTAGGAAACATATGAGAAAATCATGCAGTGTCTCCAAAAGCCCAGTATTTCCTTTTATTTTTGATTCCTGTACTAAAAAGATTTTCTCAGAATTCCCCCAGTAGTCAGTGGGAATATAATGTGTGGAAAAAAAAGAAAAGGATTAAGTCCATTATTTAATTCTTCCATTGCTCACAAACCTTTTCATCTTCCTCACTCAGCTCCTGGTGCTTTTCTACGACTTTTAACATATTCTGTATGTCACTCTCAAATTTTTCCAGGTCTGGAAAAGCCACTCTGACTTCACGGGGCTCCGGCATGACAGGGAGTCGTTCTTGTCCAACAAGCATCTGTAATATTTTAAATAAATAAATAAAGGTTTTTCTTCATGCAAAGATCTATGTTTAAAAGAGAATCAAAAGCAGGCAAGCATCACTTTAGCAAAGATCTGATCTATTCTCTAAAGCTATTTGTCTTTATTATGACACTCTGAGTATTTCATGGCACTCCCCTCACCTTGGCACTTTTGATGTGCTGAGAAACCTTCTCAAAGTTACGGTTCAGTTCTGCCAGCTTTGGTTCAACAAGCTCACGGCATGACACCCCTCGACCATTCATTAGGATGACAGCCTGATCACGCACGTTATCCACACGCAGACTAACATCATCCAATTCAGATGTTAAACGCTAAGTGAAAGAAAAAGCAAACGTTTACAGTAGGAAAATGGAAGAGTATTAACAAGCAAATGAGGCAGCAAACATCATTTCATTTAGAATAAAAAACTGGTTATTTCACAGCTGCCTCCTTAAATTGTAATGTTTTCTACCTTCACAGTTTCCTCCTTTTTGCTTGCTGGCTTCTTCTCAATCTCATCCAGCAAGGCTTCAGCCTGATACAGCCAAGTACTTATGTGGGCAACATTTTCATCAAAGATTTCCAGCTGGCTCTGATGATTCTGGGAAAATTTGAAAAAGATGCATCAATGAAAATAGAAAAGAAAGAAAAGCAGTAAGAAAAAAACTGCCACTCCACATCATTCTGAGTACAAAGTACATCATTGGAATAGAAACTGATGTGGCTACACCTTGAAGAGAAACAGCAAAAACTTGATCATACCTTTTACCTTCACTAAGGTATTTACAAGATTGCAATTTTCATTCCAGACTTAATAATACTTATTAATATTATAATATAAATGCTATTATTTCTAATTCATAGAAAGAGAAACAGATATAGTTCAAGTGACTTGACCAAAACCAGACAGTATATTACAATATTGCAGCCAGACCACAACATCACTTAATCAAACAGAGCACACTTTTTCAATTATTGCTAGCAGATACACAATAGTACACGCTATATGTGGTTGGTTTTCCTTGTTTTATTTTCAACCAAAAGGGCTTTACAGCAAAACCTATCAATTATAATATTTGCAAGTTTTCATACTGTACTGATTCCTTTAAGATATTTCTTTCTCTTACGAAAAAACATTACATAGTGTTCTCACGTGCAGTCAGAAATTGTAATGTTTGTTAACAGAAGCAATACATTATTTTGTCTACAGATATGAGAAAATCTCTAAAGTTCTTGCAGGAAGAGGGCCTTAATAGAAAGATCAGTAATATATAATGGAAAGACTTGTGTCTTTACAGGATATTAATAATCAAGGAAGAGAAACAAGGAAAGAAAGTAAAATAGGATGAAGAATAATATAAAAAGGCAAATTTGTAGACTTGAAGATTAATTTGCAAGACTTTATCATACATGAAACCAGGCCAGATGTGAAAAGGTAAAAAAGACAGGAAGACACAGTAGCATCTTTTTGGGTACGTTTACCCAAAAATCTGACAGCCATTACAAAAATGCAGCCATGAGTTACATGAGAAGAGTTACTTCCCACAGATATAGAAGCTGTTCTGTTGGTCAATGTCCTGATAGACAGGTATCAGAATTGTGATAGCACAATCCTGATCATCTGTGAACATCCACGACAACAGATGAAGCAAAGAAAGGTACCATCCTGCTTAGACATAGAGTTTATTACCTAAATCATATAATCATACAATAGCTCAGGTTGGAAAAGACCTTAAACATCATCAAGTCCAACCACAACTTAACCATACTACCTAACTAACAACCTGCTGCTAAATCATGTCCTTGAGCACCACATCCACAGAGGTAAAACTGCTCTAAATGTTTGTCACATGCAACTTACCAGCAAAGTGTCACACCAGTCCTCGGTCCAGGTCCGAACTCTGCTCCAGCCAGCATTAAGAACACAGAGCTTCTCCTCCAGGGAAGTCTCACTCCCTTCCACTAGAGCCTGGAGTGTGGTGCAGCTTTCTGTGATACTCTTCAGATCAGCTTTTCTCCTCTCCAGCTCTCTCAGAACATTCTGAAACAAGAAGAGTCACTCACACACAGCACACTGCAAATTAGCTCCAATCATAAGAGCAAGCGAGCCAGGCATAAGAATTAAATGTGTCATCTCTTGAATATCGGTGTATGGTTTCCATGAGGAAAGAAACTTCTCTTGCCATTCAATATCTCCAATTATTACTGATAACATCTGGCTATTTAGAAAATTCTTCGTCAGTATACAGCGAGTGAAGTAACACAATTAATTGCAAATACTGTCTGGAGCTTCTTAAAAATCTTATTCCTTGCAAGCTAAATACTTCTAGTTTATTATCTTTGGGAAAGAAACAAATATTCAAATTACTACATGCATTCTAAAATCATCTCCAGAAAACACTGAGACAGAAGGGATTATTTTTCTTGCAACATAACGTGTTTATCCTCCTGGTGGTGCAGTGTAACAGCTCATGAGTTATTTGCATTGCTTACAAAGGTATAGTAAATTTACTTCAGTAACTATTTAACATGCTTGTTTGGAGAGAAATGTTAAGGATATTCCTACAGTAGAAGTGTACTAATGATTGTTAACTCTGAGCCAAAATTGTGAGAAGAGGTTATGACTAGATGCTTTTCTAATTTAGTAAGCTTTGGAATGTAAAGATTCTACACAGATCTATTCCAAGAGGAAAAGATGACAAACCGAAGAGTGGAAAGAACAGAACAACTGACATTTTTTACTAACTGCAACTAAGTAAGTAACAACTTTTTGATTTGTAAAGTCACACTTTTTAAGACCGAACTGTTTCAATGAAAAGGTACAAGCTCAACTTCTTGTTAAAAACATAAATGAGTTTTCATTCAATTTGCTCTCCTAATATTTTATACAGACCAAAAATATACTTCCTGAGAATTACAAACATTAACCTATGGGTTATGTTAGTGACAGAGTAAGTCACTTAGATATCTACTAATAACAACTACATACCAATAACTTAATACTTCACTGGCTGTTTAAGTTTGAGTCAAGATACAGTTAGCTACTGTACACAGCCAATCAAATCTACAGTAACTTCATCATGTAAAAGACACAGGAGCAAATTACAAGGATTTAAATTCAGTCACTTCCATATAATATCACTATAATGTTAAAGACATTAATTTATCCTATGTATTTTTAAAGCATGCTCACTTTAGCCCAGGCAATTTCTGAATCCAGGTCAGAAAGCAAGCTCTCCGAAGCAGACTTCTGCACCAACTCTGCCTCAGTAGTAGCTAGCCACTCTGACAAAGAGGCAGCCTCTTTCCTCATTTTGCGTGCCAGCTGGGATGCTCGTTCAAGATCTTGCTTTCCTTCTGTAACCTATGAAAAAAAAGAAAAACAAAGATTTTAAAAGATAACAAAAATGAAAGTGTTAGTTAACTAAGATATCCACTTGAATTCAAATCTTTTCATTATAAAAGCTGTCTTCTTCCATAGCAAAGGACCCTGAAAAGAAAAACTGTTTATAAGCACCTGCATCTTACTATACAAAGCAGAATACATAAACCTGAATAGTTATAAATTAAGATATTCTTAAAAGAAACATGCTTACTGCTTACTTATAGCTAATAATCACCAAGTCAAAGTTTAAAGTATGTTCATTATGTTTTCTAATTGAAATAGAAGCAAACATAGAATCCAGTATTTTTGGGCAGACATGACTGCAGAAAGTTGTAAAGAAAAGTTTCACAGAAAATACAGTCTGCCCTTGAAAACAGCTCTATAAAATAAATGTGAAATTTGATGTTTGCTGCAGTGCAATTAATTTCATTTCACCCTGACTATACCATTTGTCTGATCAAACTTTAACACTTGAGAACAACCCAACCACAGAAGCCAGAATAAAGTGACATTTCAAAAATTGCTCTCAATTTAGTGTTTGCATGTATTTATACAAAACAATATACTCTTTGAAGATCTAAAAAAAAGTAAATTCAGAGATAGAAACAGGACTGTAATGTCACATTGCAAATATCCCTGACTTACTGTCCTTCCCTAATTTCTTGTCCTCCTACGTTATGAGCCATACGTGCACAGGCTACATTAGAATCCATACCTTCTTGAATATTTTTTACTTTATAAAAGATTTATAGGATCCTTTTCAAGAAATTACAACAATGCTATCTGGGCACTAATGTAGCTTCACTCTGAATAAGCTTGATTCTGTTTGGACTTCTGTCTTAATTTAAGCAGGGAAAAAAATCCCTATTTCCCCCCACCATCACCCACCCAAGCATTTAGTCATTTTTGACTATTCCAAATTTATCCAAATGGGGATAAAAACTTCTAAGAAAATTACTCAAATCTATATTTAATGAAGTTCTTAGAAAGCACTTTTACATGTATTTTTTATTTCACCCTGAAGGCAACTCTTAAATGGATTACAGTTAGAAATCATCACGACATCTCCTAAAAATAAATAAAGAGAGAGAGAGAGAGAAAGAATTTACACTGACTCAAACTTCTCACATGACAATTCAAAAGTTAAATATCTTGCAAACTGTTTTACAAACAGGTGTAACATCATACAAACACTTTAAGGAATAGCAGGTGAGCTTTAACGGAATGACTGAAGTTCTATGAACCTTCCTTTCTTGAAGAAAGACCTCCCCCTTCAGGAACACTATGATCATAGGGAATCTGAGCAACTTCAAGACTGTTACAAGTAATCTTTCATCTCTCAACGGATTCCTTCTGGATGTAGTAAATAGCTTATGCAGTATCAAATGGCTTATGCAGTATCAGCTGCAAAATCAAAACCTTATAATGCCTTCTGACATCAAAACAATAAATAATTTATATGCAGATAAACGTTCATGTAAAGATTTAGTTTTCTTACCTGTGCCCCGAGGTCATTGTAAAGAAATTTCAGTGCTGTCAGTTGTTCATCCATTCCTTTGGGATTATCTGTCTGTTGCTTTTGTACAATTTGCCTTCCTGTCTTGATGACAGTTTCAACTTCCAGTTTTACTTCACTTAGGGTTTTATAGAGTTTCTAAAGCACAAATAGACATACTAGTGATTGATTTCTAGTTCAAATGTTCAGAGTACTTCATTTGGCATGCTTAAACTCTGAACTTTGGATTAAGAGCAAATCAAACTAACACAGGGCAATGCAAAAATGTCTGCTAAGCAGATTTCAAACTCCTGCTTTTCCATACTTTATTCTAGTTTTAATTTTTAATGAAGTAAACTTCATCCCAATAGTTCATCACTGTTTACTTCATAACATAACCCACATCAAAAGACTAACACTGTGTTCTATGCTTGACCTTTACTAATTTTATTTAAACAGAAAAAATACAAAGAACCAAGCAATCCTGCCTGGAGTCATGCTTCCCATAGGTCAGGCAAGGCAATTTTTACATGTAAACTCATATGTTTACAGATAATTCAAAAGAATTGCAGTGTTTTAGTTTTCAATTGTTCTGTTGCTATTCTGTAAAAAAAAAAAAAATTGTAACACTATTTTCATCCTTTAGGAGACAGATTAGGCTAAAAGAATCACACTGTAATGAAACAACTCCAAACATAACTTAAGAACATTCCATACTTACCATGCACTTGTCCAGATGAGTTTGGATTACATCTGGGTCAGTATCCTTCACATCCAAGACATGAAGCTCTGCTTTTACACTTTCCAACACACGCTTGCAATCCAACATGCGCTGCTCAAAGTTGGCTGGTTTCTGAAAAAGCTGATACTTTGTAGACACTTCACGGAGTTTTCTCTGTTTTAATGAAAATTATTTTAAGAGATCGATTTAAATTAACATCTGGACTTTGATAACAATACTTAAAAGCATCTCCCTCTAATCTAATCCATCTCTCATGCTACCACAACTCAGGATACATGTTAACATCATTTGCCAAGCCACATTCCATCACCTATCTCTGATCTCCACATGTGGTGCAGAAGAGCTCTAATTCTCTTCCAATACCATTTCAAGATATCCATTCTACCTTATTTTCAGTACTTATCCCATGATAATTATAGGATTTCAGCTTCCCTATTCAATTAATCTAGTGCTACTTGTTTCCTAATGAAAGCATGTAGAAAGTACACACTATTAGTTTTTGAGATTTGCTTGACCGCACCAAGCAATTTACAGACTAACAGCAGCAGCGTGCTATTTAAAACCAGAACTTCTTCAAATTTAAATGCTTAGTGTGACTTTCATATTTTTACCTGCAAAACATCCAGCAGAGTTCCACCTCGGGGAGATCTGCATTCAGGAGAAGCAGGAGGGAAAGAGCGAGGACTTTTCTTGAGCTCCTCTAAGGTGGCCTCATGAGCTGCAATTTCAGCTTGAATTTTCTAACATATAAAAACAGGAAAAAAAAAAGTTACAATGCATCTTGCAGAGAGGGAAAGAGTTTGCTTACTACTTAATATCCACCAGAAGTAAATCCAGTCTGTAATGTTAAATGATTCCTGATTTTAAACATGACTCTGGTCACAGCTTGCTAAATTGAGAATTATTAAGACTGTTATTCTATAAAATCTTCTTAAAATAGGAAAGCAATCCAGATCAAAAAGCCTCTCCATTAGATCATCAGTGCAGGAGTGAAATTAAACCTGCATGAATTAGTAAGTCTATGCTGAGTGCTACCACCAGATAAATCAAATTGATCGGTATTAGAAAGCTATATTAGAATACCTGGGCCTCCTGTGGCATCTGAAAGGCATCTACCCTATCAGTCAGGTAAGATGTCAGTTGTCTATCCAGCTCTGCTAAGTTTTCCTGCAAGACCTGCAGCATGTGATCAGTTTCTCGCATAGTCTGAAGCTGCTGTTCCAAGGCGATCTGTCGGCTCACAGCCTAACAGGAAAGAAAGGTAGGATATGAGAGAGCATTTGTTCTGTAGGAACGATATTAGTCTTTCTCAAAACAAGGTAAGGAAGACCTCAAAACTTCTATGCCTTCTATGCCAAGAGAACTGTCGTCTTCAATAACATTTCTTAAAAATTGCGTGATTGATATCATTAACTAAGAAATAATGCTGCTAGATACAAGGCATTGAAAACAAGTCTCTCCTGTCACTTCAGGAGGAAAGTAGGCTGTTAAAAACAGGCATTTCAAAAACTTAGTCACTGGGAATCAGGGACAACACAATATGCTGTAGCTTAGTGTTGTTTGATGTGCAAACCTGAACATTTTCCATCAAAACAACAAATTATGTCTCCCTGTTAAAGTGAGAATGGAGGTTCACATTTCCTTCCTTTCACTGCCCCCTCTTAAGCAGCAGAACTTCTAAGTTCATTTGATCGCTAATCCTCGGGAGCACAAAATCCCCATTACCAGCACACACACACGCCGAGATAGAAAGTAATTAACAATGCCACACATCAGCACTGCAGATACAAAAGTTGATAGCTTTCACATGGCAGTGAAATGCTACAAGGGCAAAAATAGTAGTAAATGCTAACTTAAATGACAGCTTGTAACCCCTAGCTTATGCAAATGCATTCATGCTGCTCACTGTAATGAGAATGAACCCGAATTCTCTCTGTGACTATACTTCAACAGTTGCATGGGGAAAAAAAAAAAAAAAGCAAGCTCTCCAATCCTACAGTCTGGTTGGGGCCTGTGCTACCACAATACTCAACAAATGTATGCAACCTGAAATCTAGTAATCTTCTATCTAGTAAACCTAACATAGATGAGACAAGCATGAGAAGAGGAAAGGAGCAAGGCAACAGATGGAGAATGGAAAGGATGCTTTCCTTCTGTTCCCTTATTATACTATAACTTCTTCCTAGCACTTTCAAGGAGTGAAAATGTTTCTACTTGTGTACTTCATTTTTACAGTTAATGAGCAGTACACCAGCATTTATGGTAGTAGGAAGGGAACATTAATCTCAGTTATTGAACTTTATTGAACTGGACATCTTGAGATCATAATTGACTTTTTTTTTTTAATCAAAGTTTTCTAGAAAAACATAGAGAGGGTTGGGGGAAAATAGAAATGCAAATGTGCAAGACAGAACATGACTGGTAACAGGTGAAAATCTGTATTCTACTCCTAGGGTATTATTCCAAATTGAAAGCAGCTGACATTATGAAACTTTTTCCTTGTTTCCTGTGTTGAAATCCTGCATCCATGAATTCAGCTAAGAGGAAGCATTTCAGCCCACTGAGTTGACAAACAGAGCCCCCAGATTCTTACCAAATGACTCAATTCCTCATAGCGGGCATTGAAAGCCTCCAATTTTTCACTGATGATATCATCAAGAATCCCTCCATCAATCAATGTCTGCCCGAGTTCCCGAATCTGGGTTCGATTATCAGCTGGATGACGCAGGACTGATTCCAGAGACTAATCAGTGGAAAACGTATAAAGTCAATGCATCAAATATTTCTGAACTTTCAGAGGCAGAAATCTGGCCGCATGCAAAGTTTACAGTACTCTCAAGACAGAAAGTGTAAAGAAGTATGAATAATTTATGGCTTAATCCATGATGGCAAATACAGTAGCTGTTTTGTTTTACAAAACCAAACTTCACAGCACTTCTCACCTATTCATCAATATTTCACACAATAGTGCTGGCAGGAATTAATTTACAGAGGATAAGAGAGAATGAAGTTTCACCTCTGCATGGTATCAAGATTGGCACAATTGTTGTAAACAAGAAAATATATTTTTTTGGAGGGGGTGGAGGGTGTTGGCCTTACAATATATATTCCAGATTCAGAGTACTACGTTAACAGGAAGAATCAGAATACTCAACACACTGTTCAGTATCCTTCTAAAGAGCAGAATTCTTGTTCTTTCAAATGTGTCTATCTGAAAAGTCAGCAGTACAACAGAATGACAACAATACCTCAAGAGCATCATTGACAACATCCAACTTATCAGTCAGGTTTTCTGTCATTTGCACTCTTTCTTCTAGAGTGTTTAGCCAAGCTGTTTCTAAATCAAGATACTGAAGCAGCTCAATCCAACAGGACCACACCTCCTAGAAGCAACAGTAAAATTGAAATTAGCCTCGAAGGTCAGCCATAGGCTTGAAGAAATTGTATTTCACAGATATCTCCCCACAGTAGTCAATTAGAACACAATCAAAAATTGAGTGTTCTATAATAAATTTTAGATAGAAAAACTTGCTACTACAGAAGCATGACGAAAAGAAATATGCAGAAGACATACAAAGGTCTCCAAACTCATGCTAAAAATATCAGACATCCAGATACTTCTAACAATTTAAGAGTGCAACAAAAATTCACCCATTCCTTCTGAAATGTAGGACATACACAAACCAAGATCAACTTGTTCTAATTATTGGGAAGTCTCTGTTGTTTCTGAAGAAACGTGGATAGATAACAAAGCTCTGAGACATTACTTATTTGTACAAGTGTTGATTATGGAACAGATTTTAAAAGCAAATCCAGGTGGTTTCTCACGCATTCCAAAGACCTCATCTCAAGAGAAAAATCTAGGAAAAGCACCACTGCAAAATGCACTGTCAAAGTTTCTGGATTCTGTGGCGCAGATATTTTTAGCATCCTTTTCCATTCTTCACGTCGCCTACTTGAGTTTTGTTTGAGATCTGCTAGTCTTACCTCTAAAGTGTGGCATTTCCCCCGGATCCGATTACACAGTAGCTGGTAGTTCTCCAACACAACATTCAGCTCAGTTGCCAGCTCCTGACCTCCAGATGGCACTTTAGTGGCCAACATCTTGATGTTGTCCTTGAGAATTTTCACTCGCACCTCCTTCTGTAGCACATCCTCTTTTGCCCTCTGCCCAAAAAGAACACATTACACAATTCAATTGCCATGCATTCAGCTGTTAAGCACTCAAAACAACCATCAGCAGTTTAACACCATAAGCATAATTGCCAGAATATTCTCAAGTCTGAGCACAACAAAATATGGCTAGAAAGATCATATTATTGGCTGTTGAATTTTGCCCTAATCAGAATTTAGGAAGCAGAATAGCTGAAAGGTAAGAGACAAACTTGGACTGGACAACGTTAAAACAACTAGAAGGATTCAGAAATAGAAATTTTCCTTAGCTCTTTCTTTTCAGGTTTCAAGGACAGTTTTATGAAGTACCTCTGATTTATAAGTCACTGTAGTTTATGGTATAATTTAGTACATGACAGCATTATCGTTGGACATATTGTTCTAAACGTAAGGCAATTAAAAAAGAAATTTCAGTTAATGAAAGGACAAAGGATAGAGATCTGTAACATTCTACTTTATGACTATTCTCAATCTACCTCGCAGCATTTAAAATTTACTTCCTCAAATTAGTAGGAGCTCCATTCAAATAAGAGCAGAATTAGGCAAGCTAAAGAGATTTTCAAAATGTCATGTAAAAAATGCTCCTGTGTCAAACACACAGAGAGTGCTCTTCCCCAATATTAGAGGCAGTCCCAGCATAACGCTCTTGACACAAATGTAAGAGTATACACAATTGTTACAGTAAAAGTACAGGCTCACTGACACACCTGCCAGATTAAAAAGCACAGAATATAATCTGGATCTAATGGAGGTTACTGTGCCAAATCTCTCAGATTTCCCAATTAAAAAAAAAAAAAGTGTTGGTTTTTTTTTCCTGGCATGTTTTCAGCAGGCTGTCAGACTTTGAAATCTCAAATGGCTTCAAAGGACACAAACATATTAATAACACTTGTTAAAAACTGCTTCAGAAAACCTCTTCAAAAAGAACGGTTTGGATCTTCAAATAGATTTGTCAAAACACTTGTAAGCAGCAGAAAAAAACCTTTATTTTCTACTCAGAGTACCCATGTAGTGAATAATTCAAAATATTTGTCAAGACACACCTGAACTCCCACTGAATTGTTTAAAAACAGAGAGAATTACTATTTGTTCTGTACATGCAATCCAAAAAAATTACCTATTCAGCTGATAATTTATACTGAGGCAAAAATAAATCCTTCTCTTCTTTTTTTTGTCAATAGTTCCAAAATTAGAGGGATCAGCATCACTATTTGCAACAGATGAGGAACACAAGATAACCTTTATTACAAAGCTGTTTAGAACTGTTTTACTAAATGCAGAGCTACTACAGCATGAGATGAGAAATTGAAGTCCAACAGCTGGAAGCAGAATAACACCGTTTTACAACTGCTAATTTAGACAGACAGAATATCACATTGTCTTCCTCTAGTTTATTCTCCTCTAATAAAGTAACATATTCTCAGGATTTAATGCATTGCAAGCCTTCCTGGCTTAGAAGGCTCTGTGCTCTACTACTCATTATAAAATCCCTATGCCTCTTAGCCAAATACAACATCTGCTTTTATAGTTTGTGCTTTAAAAAACAAAAATTTCCATGAGGCAAAGGTGAAAAATAGCACTAATCTTGTCATGACCTGAGTTCCTTTACATACAGATAATAATTCCACAAAAGATCAGCACTTAGAAACCATTAAGTTTTGTTTTCCTTTAATCAGGTCTCTACAATGACCTGATATGCCTGACCTTCATTTCCTCCACAGCATTCTCTAACTCTTCAGGGGACTTGTATTCAAAATCCTTCTCCAAATATTCTTCTTCAGCTTGGGTCATCCATTCTTGCATCTCTGCCAAATCCTTCTTCAGATTTACAGCTTTTTCCTGACTTTCAGACAGGCGATTTTTCTGACTAATGATCTAGAATTCAAGGTGAAGAAAGAAACAGCAGTTTTGGTACATAAATGTCCTTGTGTACGTGAAAAACCACAGGTTTCTGTTAAAACATTTCCTACCAAAGCATTTTTTAGCCACTGTAATTAGCAAAATTAAAATTAGCTGTCTCCCCCCCTCCATCCAAGTCACTTTTAGCAGATTAACAAAACCTAAAGGTAAGGAAAGGAAAGAGGATATAGATTTCGTCCTTTGTGCAAACTGGTGGCAATTCAACTGTCAGATGTGGAGAGGGGGGAATGACAAAGGGTGAAAAAAACACTCTTCTGATCACAGATATCATATAGTTAGGTACATCCTTATACAGAACACTTTAACACCATCAGGCCTCACACTTTTCTACAACCTAGCCAGTCTGGATAAAGGTTCAAGGTTCATCAACAGCAAGGTTTTCCTTGTCAGGCACTGTGATGAAAGTAAAACGTTTCTAAAGAAAGCAGAAAGCTTCCATCCAAAAGAAACATCCACATACTCCAGACTGAAGTGGCAGTCTACTTATAGCCATTTATTTTTCAAATCTGCCTGGAAAGAAGCTGAAATTACTCAGAGTCAGAATAATATTCCAAATTTCAAGGGCAAGATTAGGTGGTCAGATTTTTTTTTCCTGAGAAAAGAAAAAGCAGTATGAAGTAAAGTAAATATTTCATTTTTATATACAAATAATTAAACTGAAAGGAACACAGTGAACTCTTCAAATACCTAGAAATGCACATATTAAACAAAACCCCTGTTTCATAGGGATTCCCTAACATATTTGCACTTGTGAAGGATTTACTGTGCCTGGTTGAATTTTAGCCATTTTGATAGCAGAACAAGTAGAGCATATTTGTTGAAGAGTCAAAAATATATTGTCAAGAGTCCAGAGAAGGGCAATGAAGATGATCCACGAGCTGGAGCACCTCTCCTGGGAAGATAGGCTGAATGAATTCAGCTTGTTCAGCCTGGAAAAGCAAAGGCTGTGGAGAGACCTCATTGCGGCCTTCCAATATTAAAAATGCATTTATAAATGTGAGGGAAATCAACTTTTTATATGGGTAGATAGTGATAGGACAAGGGGAAATTATTTTAAACTACAGGAAGGGAGATTTAGATGAGATGTCAGATGGAAGTTTTCTATGAGAGAATAGTGAGATGCTGGAACAGGTTGACCAGAGAGGCTGCGGATGCCCCATTCCTGGAAGTATTTAAGGCCAGGTTGGATGGGCCGTAGGCAATCCAATCAAGTACTTGATCAAGTAGCAGCTGGCAACCTTGCCTATGGCAGGTGAACTCAAACATGATGATCCTTGGGTACCTCTTCAAGCCAAGCTATTCATTCTATAACTCTAAGAAACTGTTTCACTGCTTCACCTCTTCATCATACTCCCAGTGTCATGGAAATGATGCAGTAATGCAGTAACAAGTAAGTGCTAGCAACATATGAAGAACTCACCTGTTTGCTCAGCTTCTCCCATTGCGTCTGGCAGTCTACTAGCCTAGATTTTGCCCAAGTATTTATGCCTGCAATAGACTGACTTCTTAAAGCTGACTCTAGTTCTTTCATCTCTTTCAGTGAAGGCTCAATCTTCTCCATTTCATTAACAAAAATCTAAACACACATAGAAAATAAAAAATAAGTGTATAGAGTACCAATGATTTTGTAATTTGAAATTATTTCAGAGAAACTTTACTTAAGAAAAAAAAGTGAGCAATGTTTTCTGTACCAGACTGTTTAGAACAATCCTGCAGTGGCCTAAAACATTAGAGCTGTGCAACTAGAAATACATCTTGCCATACACAGTGCAAACATTCTTGCGCATCAGATGTCAACACTAGAACAAGTCAACTTTCAAGATGATGTATTTCAAATATCCTGATGTTTCTAGTATACCTCAGATTCATATTATTCCTCTGGAAACAAACGTTTGAGGTTACAATGTAATCAGTTACTGTCAGTTGACATTCTACCTAACTTTGATCCTTTTGTGGCACCAGGTAGGAAGGAATCTTACTTGCAAGGCACGTACAACTAAACCATACAAGTTTAATCATACATATTTGCTTATTATTTTTAATATCCTTGAAAGTTTTATGCAGAAGGAAGTTTTCACTGATAGATTCAAACTGCGTGTCTTAAAACCAAGAAAAACACTTTCACAGAAGAGTTAATGTAAACTGTGGATAAGTATTTTTAAATATAGTGACGAACTCTGAAATGTACAAAGCATTATGGCTATAAACATAAGGAAGCACTTAAAACTTGGTCCTGAAATAGATAAGACAATTCTGGCAGACTTTACATAATATACCATGGGCAATAACAGTAGCAAAACAATAAAGAAGAGATGGTAAACGTATGATTTCAAAAGATTCCTTAGGAAAACAAAACTCACTGTGCACTGGTCAAGCTGTCTTTGAAGTCCTTCAGTATCTCCTTGAGCAGCCTTTTCTGTCAGTAAGAAGCCTTTCACGCCATCCATCCACTTCTGAACAACTTTTGAATTAGTCTAAATCAAACATAGTAGCAAGGAATTGATAATGCTGCGAGTGTATGGCAGTTCCATTTCAACCACTTTAATCAGTGTTAAAAGAATGTTCCAGAATGTGCAAGCATTCCCCAGATTTTGCATCACACCACTTCTATTATTTTTCTTCCTTCAATTTCTCCATTCTTAACTTTATGCGAAAACTTAATTCCCGATAGCGATACTCTTGCACCCATGGTTTAATTAGCATTGTACTCATCCTGGCTATCACACCAAAATGCTGGATAAACTAAGAAGACAAGCATGGCTTCAAAAAGTACGTAAACATCCTTGAGAGGTGGAAGCTATGCAGGGAAAGCCTCAAAGAGAAACACAGGCACAAAAAGCAAATAGTATACAGGATTAGACTAAGCACTAAAAACTTCCAGCTGCTGGAGCCAATGGTAGCTACAGTATGTACTCAATAAAGCAAGGCACAGAAATAAATTTATAAATACAGAATTGCAGTCACCCAACCTAAAATTTAGCAGTTTTCTTATATTCTGGGTAAAGTGGGACAGGAGGGTTGCCATCACCTTCCCACACAATTGTGAATGTTCACCATCACCCTTACAAACAAAACACTACAAACTTGGAGAAAAGATTTTTCTTGTCCTGATTCAACTATGTTATATGATTGCCATTTTTAATAATATAGTTGAACTTTTTTTAATCAAAAGTTCTGGGTTTTTTTTTAGCAGATGGTATCTTTCTATTTTGACTCATTTGTCACAACAGAGCATTCTTACTGGAGAAGCCAAGGCAAAATTCATCCGCATTATCTTATATTTTACACATCACTAAGGAAGAAAACACACACTTGTCTTTCAAGATCCATAAATTATAAAGTGCTTAAAAAAACAACAACTCAGAACTAATGAAAACACATTAGACTAAGATTATGTTTATATCTAGGACAATGTTACCATTAGAGGTCAAAGTCACGACACTTTCCACAAGCCTCTTCCTTTTTGGAGGAATTTTGTTCAGTTCATGAGCCTGAACGTTTTCCAAATCAGACCCCAGGAGACTCTAACAGTGAACCACAGTTTAAAAATATCCATACCTATATATACACACACATAATTATAAGAACTTGCCATTTGACAAGGCATTTTAGCTTACACTTAATTTAGCTTGCTTACAGAAAGATATGCACAGCTAGCTAAAGATAACAAGTAGCTAAAATGAATTAAATGGGATTACTCACAAAGTTAGACACATATTTAAATAATTTGCTGAATCAGAGTCACATATACAGAAGTTCAATGAAGTCAATGCTCCTGCACTGGTAAATAATTATCAAATGCTCAGTGTAGGCCATGAATATGTAAGAGCTCCCAGTTGTTGGAAGTGAATTAAAACAATGGATCTATTTCTAAAATTTATTCAGCAAGGAAGATCAAATGTGCTGAATACCACCTTTTGGACTCCTGAAAAAAGCCACATTATGTACAGCTACGCAGTAGATTTAGAAGAACTGAAGGTAATACTTAGTCAAAAACACAGCAAACAAACTACACATTATTAGAGACAGAACGAAAGATACCATCAGTGTTCTAGCAAATACAAGAAGTAATTGACCAAGGGAGCTTTGTCTACTTTTCCCTTCACATGACTACTACAGGCAATATCACAACAAAACCAATACAGCACAGAAATAGGTCATGTCACCAGTGCACATGCTGTCAGCCTGGGGGAGCCTCTATCACAACAGAAAGTGCAGAAATGGTATCTGAGAAGCAGGACCTACAGACGGATCTGCCACTGCCTTGTTCATCTGACTAACGAGGGCATTTCAAGCCATGTTCATTTGTCTACTTACATTTTCTTTTCAAAAACATAAATGTGAGGAGTGCTGTTGTAGAACTGCTCAGTTTTAGAAGTGAATTATGAAAAAAAAATAAATATTAAATACAAACAAACACTTGTGCACAGTTGTAAGTAACCATACGTTCTCCATGGCTTACCACCCACTTATTCCATTTTTCTCCCCCCTCTTGCTTTTATTTTTTCCACTTTTATAGTCAGATACTTCATCTCCTCTCTTAACAAGTACCCAGTCATTATCAATCAAGCTATTTTTGTGTCTCTGGTATCACATCTCCAGTATTGACTCATTCAGCGTCTGCTCCACAAGGAAGAAAACATACACTTTCAAGTAGGTCTAGCTCAGTGCAGCTACAGAAAAATCAAGACAACTGGAAAGCTACAATAATTTGATGAGCACGACTCATAAGAAGCTGTTGCACAAATGAGATTGAGAAATGCTCACATGCAGAATATTTATTCCATCATCCTAAAGAACTAATAAGCGTAAGTAGAAAGAAAGGGAAGAGAACAAGGCATTGACCTAAATGTGTATCTAGAGTCAGGATGAAAATTAAGGACAAGGAGCTTGCTCATAATTAAACAACAAGGACCTGGCTAAGTCTGTAAAAGTTCATTTCTTTTAGGAGCCAGTACACGCCAGACCATTTTGGCAGATCACAACGCAGATCCCACTGACCAGTGGCTCCTCCTCAGCCTGAGGCTGCTGCAGATAGCTACAGAAGGATGAATTCTAAAGAAAACAGACTAAGAGCAGAAGTTGTTTTAGAAGTATGTGTGAAAATACATGTATTCTTGAACACGTTTAAAAAGAGGCTTTTATTTTGATGCTTCAAGTAACACAGCCTAACAATAACACAAAAAATCTACAAAAAAGAAAAACTTTCACTGAAAAGCTGCAACTCCACCTACCATGCATAGGTTGGTTCATGGTCTTCATTTACAATCTCACTAGGCTAGACTGGACTGCTATGCTTTTTCTCCCCGCTTCCCTTCTAGGAGTTTAGTAGTAAAATGAAAGGTATCTTAATTCCTCAACAAAATTATTAGTGAATAACACTTAATGAGCAGGAGCAAGCTTTTCCCTCCAGCATTCTTTCTATGTATAGTTTTTCATGAGTGTGGGTTTGCATTCTGCTTTTAATTTTAGTTAGAACATGTTACTCCTATGACGTTTTTTTTTTCCAGATTTGTGGTAAAAAAAGGCTTTGAGGTTTTTGCTCTTTCCAGCCATAATCACCAACAGATTGTCCAACTCTGTGTGCAACATCATCCAAGTCAATTACCTGACCACATTAATGCAGATGCAGATTTCAGTATACATGCATACATCTGCATACATGCATAATTGGGCACTCATTAAAGCTCCTGCCCTGTTGGAACTGGAAAACTCACTGTACATAAACATTTTCTTCACTTGCTTTTTAACAGGCTGTACTAATTAACTGTTGACAGAAATCAAACTTGAAGGAACAGGTTTCCTGTAGCAGGTATGTAATTTCAGTTTTAAATGTCAACCTAATAAAGTGTCGGGCATCTGACACCAGCCACAACAAAGGGCACTCAGCCCCTGCTGGGATCAGGCCTTCAGTAGCACAGCTAACATACTCCTCATTCTGGTGTAATCTTTGCTTCTTGTACTGGCAGAAGATGAATGCTAATTTTAAGTGCAAAATAGTGCTATTAGAAGATAAAATAATATACTGGACGTTTTAAAAGCCACACATAACTCTTCTATAAGTACGTTATATGCTTTCAGTCACTGTCCTGTTCCACAACCATTTCACTTCTCAGTCAGTATCATCTGAATGCAAGAGTATAAGAAAGGAAGGCCTCTATAACAATTGACTCATGTAACAACAAAATACTTTCATTTTACCTCAAATAATCTCAACTTGGATGTAACTCCTTCCAGTAGTTTAACATCTTTGGAAATCTTGAGCCTTAACTTGTCCCAGTGTCCTTGCATGTGCCTGAACTGTTGTGTGTAGACCTTTGTCCTATCAGAAGACTGTTTCTCCAAAGCCTTTGTTTCTTCAGCAAGTTTATCTACCCTGGGCTTCTGGGCTTCCAGTGTCTCACAAACAGTCTACAAGGAGGAGGAGGGAAAAAATATACACGTTTGCTTACAGTATCAGGTATAACACATTCACATACAAACACAAGTACATCAAAGTAGTCAAAAAAGATGAAATAACCATTTCACTAGCATTACGAAAGAATGAGAGTTTGCAATATAATGTGAGACATAAAAAAATGCTCCTGCTCTGTTAAACTGAACATGTTTGAAATTTTATTTAAAATTTAAGAGAAACTTGGAATTGAAAAATGAAATCATTACCATTAATTTAACTTTATAGTATATACATTTAATACAGATAAGTGGGATGCATGCACATACATTTTAATGCATTGTGCTGAGGAAGAATCTTTTTTGGTGTGCTTATGCTTTCATTCTTACTTTTCTTCACAATAAAGAAACAACCTAAAATGTACCATTTCCTCTAAAAGGATAGCTAATGATGCAGTGATAAGATCAGGAATAGGGATCTATGCTTCTGAAAACAAGAGCTTTCTGTGCAACAAGCCACAGAAACACAGACTGAGTCAACTCCCTGCTCAAGTCTATACCTGAAAAATTTATCAGTGCCTGTCATGGTGAAGAGGAGGGAGCTGCTCAATCCCAGGCCCATGGGCAGTGCATTATCCACATTTTGTTCTGATCTCCTGTAACAATCCCTAAAGATCCCACACTGACATACAATGTCTTCTCAGGTTAATTAGTCTCTGAAGACAACAGGAAGGAGGGATCCAGAGACAGATAGGAAATGACAAATCTCCAGAGGCCAAAAGTCATTGCAATTCAGCCAATGCATGGAACAAAAAAATCTCTGCCAGCCTTAACCAGTACAGAAGAAACATCAAACTCCTTTGTTTCTTGGGTTCTCAAAAAAAAAAAAAAAAAAATTACTCTCTGCCAAACAGAGGATAGAAAGAAACAGCCTTCCCCACACACCCAGTAACTGCAGCCCTCTTTTTTTTTTTTTTTTTTTTTTTTTTTTTGGCCATGTAGGAAAAAGAAAATGCATTTCTGAATTCAGCATTATTGTACAAAAGCACTGAGGTGGCAGGGGGAGGGGTGAAGTATTTGAGTTTATTTTGATTTATTTTTTGTGTTTAAAAAAAAAAAAAAAAAAAGCAGTACAGGAGATGCATGACTCCTTCCCCGACTAGAGCCCTTGTATTTATAAAGTAATTGTCATGCACAGGTTTTCAGATACTTTGTATGTTCATAATAGGAAACAAAAATTCCACTTCTACTGCGCTGAATTTGTATATCAATTACCCTTATTGTTCACAAACACCTTCTCTTTGAAAGGCAATCTGGAGGCCACTGGAGTACAATCACCATCTTAAAACGCCCTGGTAGGATGAAAGTTGGATGAAGTTGCTATCCAGGTGATCACCAGGAAGGCATCCCACATCTAGCAAGGCTACAGCACTTGCAGGAGCCACAAAGCAGGCAGCCTTGAATCAACCACATCAACTCCCAACTCCATCAATAAAGCTCCTATGAAGGGGGACACTCCTGGGCCCTGACACCCTCTTTGGGGCTCCTTGGCACAAAGTAGGTAAAAAAGGTAAGGATTACCTTTGTCTGCTGCAAGGCTTTTTCAACCTTACTAGGGTCACTCAGCCCACTTGCAATTGCCTGCTGCTTGCACTCCACCTCGCTCAGCACATCCTTCAGCCTCTGCAGAGAGCCTAAGAAGTCCTGGCTAGGCAGGCTTTCTGTCTCTGTTATTTTTAGAGATTAATTAATACAAATACAAGAAAAGAACATAAACAAAAGATCCAAACTATAAGAGATGTGAATTAGTATATTCATTAAAAAAAGAAATCATGAAAGATACTGAATCCTGCTGAGAGCAGAAGAGCTAAAAGTACACAAATGGCAACATTCTTTTCCTTTCTAAAAAATATATGTATATTCTTCTATAAATCTCAATTCCATTTTACGTAATTAAGCACCTAAACTACCTGGAGAGAGGAAAAAATCAGTAATACTTGGGCTGTTGCACATTTAAATCCCCTCAATTTAAACACGTGTTCATACACACAAATACAAAAAAAAAAAACAAAAACAAAAAAAAAACTGGTAACTTTCAGCATAATGCTGGAATAGAGGCATTCTTTGGGAACACTGAAAAGGGAATTTAAGTTTGGACAGAGCATCTGCTTGAGGTCCTTCTTTGCACCTCTGATTTTGACCAAGTCTGTCCTCTGTGGAATTCCACACAGGAGGCTGCATGTAATTCTGGAGTTTCAGAATGAAAATTGAAGTTTTCAAAAACTATAACAAATAATACTTTAGCTGTAAAAACAGTACTCTGCTATGCACATCCTCCAGCCTTGAATTCCTAAGCAATTTCATTACTTCACCATGAGTGAAAATTAATCTAGAACTTGCTCTGACTCACCAGGTAGCGTTTCAACAGCTTGCCATCAGAACTGTTGTGCCATTTATAACTAAGGAATGAGTCAACACGCACAGAGAGAAACACAATTATCTAACTTGCTGTTCTTAAAAAGATAGTACCAATTTACAGGGAAAACAAGAAGAGCTTGCTATAAAGCAAACAGGAGAACTGTCTCTAAAATACAGCAAATCTTAAAGAACAAAAAATAGTAAAAATAGCCTCTCATTCATAAAAAAGTAAGTCATAATTTCTATCAAAAATGCCAGTATTGATGGTACTGAGTTCCACTCAATCAGGGACTTTTCAGACACTTAACAATCATGGAAAAAAGTAGGACTTGTGTCAATAAGAAAGCCTGCCAAGTTCACAAATGCTTGGTTTCTACACTAGCTGTTCCTCTCTGTTACATGGCTCGGGAAATTCTTTCAACTTGCAGCAATTCAAGCCATTCTGTAAAGAAAAACCCTGACCTGGCATTTCCCTCTGCTCTTTACCTATGGGCAATCCAGAGAAAATCAACCATTAGGAAAAAAATACATAATATACTTACAAATGTAAATGTAGCATACCAAGATACGTAACATTTTTTTACTGAGTAATAATTGGCTCAAATACAGTAATGTTCCCTCAAATGACATGTGGCATGAAAAAGAGTATTATAGTCACACAAGATAACCATTTTACTGGTATTCTATATGAATCAATTCATAATAAGAATCAAAATAGTTACTCTTCACAGTAAGAATTAACATATACACTGTAATTTGAGCATGGTAGATATACATTATTCATACAGTTTTCTACATTGACATGACTGAACTATTCAGGCCTTGTGCAACTCTCTGTATAAATGGTCAAATAATTTAGTACTTGAGTCTATTTTTACTACACACAAAGTAGATACTCTTCCACCTGGGAGCATTAACAAAACACTTCCTCCAATTTCTCAAAAACAAAATGAAAAAAAAAAACTGATCATACGTCTGTGTTCTTCATATTCAGCTGTAAAATATCAACAGAGATATCTAATTTTTTGCAATGAAGTCAGCATGATGGTTTTAATGCTCGTAATAAATTTTTTAATGTAACAAAAGCCCAAGTAGAACATGCCTGAATAGCAAGCCAAATTTCAAATAATTTGAAATATCAGTGTTACAAAAGGAATTGTGTATGACTCAACGAGGCCGTGAAAAAAGAATGAACTCCATTCTCACATTTAGTTTTTAAAAGTTTTCCTTAATCTTCCATTTTTAATTTTTAGTATTATTTATTTCTGTTAGCAACAGATCCAAGCAACTTTTCAAACTATATCATTCACTTTAAGTATGATTTTGCTAATCTATTAAACATAGCTTTTTCAATTCACAGAAAAACATGTCTAACATGTAACAATATAATCTATGTATATCAAGACTGTATTAGTATATCAATGTAAAATGATATAATATAAAATGCACATTTAATTTCAGATTTTGTTACAGGGGAATCCCAGTTTGAAAATGGGAATAAAAGCCTTTGACAAAAATATAAATAATGTGTTTGAATTATTTGTTCACTGAACATCACTTACAAGTATTCCTTCTCTCTAATTTCCTCGCACTACTATTTTTTTGCATTTTCTCTTTACAACTTTATTCCTAATTGCATTTGAAAATCTTATAGTAAGTCTTTGACTATTTATCATAATTGATGGAAACTATGATCCAAATACTCCTTAAAGACAATCACATAATGTGGTTGAAAGAGAAAAGATTAAAAAAAAAAAAATCAAGGAAGTTACTATCTTGCATGAACAATTATAATCTCTGTACAATATTTTCATAGTAACTGCTTTAATTTCAAATTCTCTTTAAAATTAAGCAGCGTCTCTGCAGCACAAAGGCTCCAAGAGCACACTGTTTATCATGTCATCCAAAGGTATTACTCAAGAGAAAAAGAAGAAGAAAAGAAAAAAAAAAAAAAAAAAAAAATCAGAACATGAGAATTGAGAGGACTTTATAAAAGAATATTTACCTTTCTTCAGCTGCTGGTGACGTTCATCTAGTTTCTGGCAAGTCAACTTGAAGCGATCAAGAAAAGCATTCAAGCTCTCTTGAATGAAGTTTGGAGGCACAGACTGAGATGTGAGCACCTTGCAGGTAGCTTTCAGGTGTTCCAATCGTGGACTCAAGCTTACAAGATAAGTTAACTCCTTCTGTAAGAGATTAGAAGCAGAATCAAATTGCACCCTGTTAACACGAAGATATAAGCTAATGTAAAAACTTATCTACATTACTAGGGCAACTACAACACAGGTACCAAAATCTTCCAGTCACATCCAGTGCCCTGGAGCCTCTCAGAAAATGTGAGTTACATTATGGAGGATGCTATATTCCTCTGGGGTATTTTGTGCTCCTGACAGCTTCTAATCAAAAGCAACATGTTTTGCCACACTTACCTGACACAAATCCTTCAGGACTGCTGAGGGCTGGGACGCTGAAGAATCATTTTTAAGCCAGCTCTCCTTTTCAGCTATAATCTTCTCAAGCTCATTCATTTCTTTAAAGTATGCATTTATATCTTCCTGGTACTTTATCTTTCTGGCCAATTCTTCTAGAAGCTGAACCACTTCTTTCCATCCTGACAATATTTTCTCCATCAGGTTTTTTAAATCAACTGCAGGAAGTCCCTCTAAACAGATGATATAAATTACAGTTGATTAACTGCAACTAATTTTGATTAACAAAGTTTTAACCATTCGTCTCTTCAGATACAGGTAGGCACACTTCTGGATTAATATGCTAAAGGCTTCACTTACAAGTCAACAATCCTTAAAATGTATTACTAACAGTGTTTTAACTTTTTATTTCCACAATAGAAGTCAGATTACATGTAAGTAAAATTCTCCACTATCCTTCTTTTCAGGTTTTCAGTTTTTAGTAACATATTGACTCTGAAACTGTCACAACTCTCTTCACAATTCTAATTTGTCTACATATTGATTTATTGATTCAAATAACTTTAATTTTCCTCCACAAAGGTAAAGGGAAGCCAGAAGTTGGAGAGCAGCAATAAATTCATTGTAAAGGTAAATGGAAATCCAGCAGGCTGCCTGGGAGACAGTAGGAACTGCAGTTGACAATGTCACAGTGCACACGACATGATTAATAACCAGGTAACGTGAATAGCTAGAAAAGCAATCTGATAAAGTTATTTCCCACTCAGCGACTACATGAAGCATGTGCTACACCATCTTTCTGGTAAATCAATGTGTTACTTGAGGACACAGCACCATAAGCAAAAAGACTTCCCATCCACATGCATTCCACATTCTTTTACTTCCTCAAGTGCCAGAAGCATCCGGCAATTTTGCTGAAGAGATTTCAGTCCAGCGTGTGTTCAACAATACGTTCTTGCCATTGCATGCTTTTGATGTTGATTTTGTAACAAGGTACACCTCTTTATATTAGGCATATTGGGTTCATTTGAACTTATCATTTCTGTCATTTGGACAGGAGAGCAAGGAGATACATATAGAGGAGTCAATTTCTGGACTGTTTCAGCATAAATACAGCCCAGCGTTTCATTCTGGGGAAGCCAGCCAGCTTCTACAAGGCTCTGCTCCATAGATCTTCCCACTGTGTTTCATACACTGTCCATATGCCTGGCACATCTACACAATGAAAGCACAGCAGCTGCTGCAACCAGTCCTGTAACAAGAGTATGCAATGACTGGCCACTGCTACTATGGCAAGGCCTGTACAGACAGAAATGGATGCATATATATGTGCCCATATACAAGTACAGCTGGGGCTAGGCCTGGTTTTGGAAAGAAGGCTGCAATTCCAAATTGGATAAAACACACTAGCAGACCTAACATAGCTGGGAGATAATGACTGGTTACATAAGCCTTATTTTCTGCAGATTCCTAACTCTAAGGCAGCAAAAATTAGGAAGCAGTTTTTACATCTTTTTTACTGACAGAAGCCAATTTTTCAACTACGCATTTTTTAGTATTATCAACAAATATTGACTATTTAGCCACAACCTCTCACAGTTGGAGGAGTTTAGAAAAAGAGAAGAGTGAGCAGGGGAAGATCTTTGTCAAGGTTTGAAAATTAGGAAGAGCCACAAGTTTTTAATAATCCAAACTCCACATCAAATCTGTGGCTTCAAGACCATCAGGGTTCAGGAAATGACAAGCATTTTAAACAACTTCACCTGTGTCGGGCAAGGAAGGAGGACTCAAGATGCTAAGCAGATTGAGGCATCCTAGCAAATGAACTGGCTGGGAAAAATTGTGGCAGTTGGGAGCTCCAATACAAAACAGCAATATACCATCCTTTCACCAAGCTGAATACTATCAGCTACAGAAAGCTCACTAACAGTCAAATGCACAGCACACCTAAAAGACTGTATCTTGATGATCTGAATCGCTCTCTTATGGAGAAAGGCACACTGTGCTGATGAAGTTTAGTCATATTACGAAACAAGATTTTGGCAAGCCTTAAAGATTCAGCTTTCCACAATTTTTCCAGGGATAAGTGTTTTAATTGACAATCAATCATTTTTTCAAGCATGTAGGCTTCTCTCTTGACTTTGAACTATAAATTGTGACTGTATTATCAAAACATCCTGACAGCTTTTTCAAAAATAGAGGAAACTATGAATAGAAAAATATATACACACATTCATCCAACTGAAATATGGTTTCAAGATTTCCACTTCAAGATAGTCACATTTTAAAATCTTATACTTAAGTTTTTCACATGATTTAAAATAAAACTAACTCTTCTCCCTAAAAACATGCAAATGTAAATCTGTTATTAAGAAATTACTCCTATATCAATAAAACAACCCTTAAAAATTTAAAATAATAATAATAAAGCTTGTCTATAAGCTTTACTAGCAATTGGTGATTTGTTACCATTAACAGTAACGGTGACCAATGCCTCTGAAAGAAATAAAGTGGAGGGAGAGGGAAGGCATATGTTGCAATGCTTAACTGGAGACAATATATATGTTAGCATTATTTACCAGTAAATCACCCAGTCAAATCACAAAACAGAACAACCTTCAAGTCTTTTACCTTTTCCCATTTGATCCAAAAGAATATGTCCATTTCGCTTCAGATCATCTAGCTTTTGGCTTTTTTCAACCTTCTCTTTTTCTATCACCTACAAATTGAACCCCAGAAGAACAGTTTCAGAGAGTGTTTTGTTGTTTGTGTGTTTTTATCTAGAAGTATGTTATTTTCCCTCTGCTGCCCAAAATGCATTCCAGGACCTTCTAAATAGGGATGTTGGTTCTATTTGCTTGTAAAGCAAACACAAAAGATGGATCCCGAGTATTAAACAAGCAAAAAGGTGAGTACAATGACACCAAGAATAAAATGCTGTTAAAAGGGTTGGAGACAACAGCTATAACATTATACTTCCGATAAACAAATTATTTGATTTGTGAACCAGTGTAAAAGACTTAAATATTCCCTCACCTTTACACTGTCTACTGGGATTTCTGGCAGAAACTAACAGCAACCTGTTACCTAAAATTCCAGCAAAAACTACAGCATACTGGTATTCCCATTTTACCGAGCTTTAGAGCTTCACTCTCCTTCATGATAGATACAACAAGGAAAATGCTATGAAACTACATAGATTTTTTTAGAGGAATAAGTTCCTCTCTTAGACATAAAGTCCTTTTGAAATTAATGTCCAAGATTATTTCTCTGGCTTAGACTTCCAATAGTAAATTTTAAAGCAGCATGCACTCATTTGCATAGTTGAGAAGAAAAAACATTGTCCTATCCATTTAGTGTCCAATAGTTTAAAAACAGTGTTGTCCACAGGAACCTGGTGTTCATCTTGGAGCCTATTTTATAAATGGCTACAAGCTATATAAAGTATTGGGGAGGACTGTTTTGATTTTTATTTCCAACAGTACTATCATTCCAAACCTTCCTACTGCCACCATTTCCCACTAGCACACTGAGAAGAAGTCTCCTTATAGACAATCTTAAGCATTGCCTTTGATTTCAAAACTAGGCCTGGATCCTGCTAAAGCTCTAGTAAGCCTTCATTAACAAAGCATGGTCTAGGACCAAAAAAGGCAAGAACACATTCCTGAAACAGAAAGAACAGATAAAAGATTTATTTCATGGTTCCCATAAGTTACTGTAGAATTGCATATCTTATCTATAATTCACGAGTTGTAACTATCCCTCTTTCCTCTAAAATTAATGTACCAATCAATGATTGTCCAAACCCTGGAAACATAACAGAACATTTTGGACCCTGAGCGGGTGTCAAGTCCACCACCAACCATGAAGCATGAAGCCAAAATAAAATGCTTTGTGGAAAAAGATACTAATCTTGAAGATGTGATTTATCTCAATTCTGAAGCAAGCATTAGTTATACATGCTTTCAAAATTTTCTTCAGATTGTGTGACCCAACACCAACAAAAAACTGTGTCTAGTTGGTCAGATTTTCATGTCTGGCCAGCTTGGAAGTATTTAACAAAAGGACCTAATCCCCATGAAGCATGTAGATCTGGTCACACCTCAAACTGACAGCCAGCTTAAACAAAATATATTATTCAGTGGAAAAAAAAACTCTCCCTCTCCTCATTTTACCTTTAACTTTTCTTTCACGCTTGAAGTCTCTCTCATCTTCTTGTACTCTTTGATGTCTGTGGCCTGAATGGCAGCTTTTGATTTTGAAATCCAATTCAACAGCTCAGCACTTTCAGCATCAAACCTGGTTTAAAAGGTTAGACAATTTTGATTTGGCCCTTTTTTCCCCTATTCTGTTGACTGTTTTAAAATGTTAAGTCTTAAAGTTCAGTACATTCTAGATTTTTGAAGAGTTTGCAGTGCTATTGAGTCTGAAGAAAAAGCTAGCAGCTTAGGTGTTCATGGTAATGAGTATGGAAATTTGTTTCTGAATGCTTAGCTGATTTAAAATTAGCTTAAGATTTTTTGCTACAGCTGAAATTGTCCATATTGACATGACTTTCTCATGCCTAAAACTTCTAAGCACCATAGCTTGTAACTTAAGTCAGTCATGACCAATATTACCACAAAAATACCTTCCCAAATTAACCAATATCATACACAACTTGAGAGAAGGACAAAGCAAAGACTCTACAGACCACTAGATCTAACTACAATTGTATGACTTAACATGATGTAAATTCTAATGTGGAATAACAATCTCAGAAGAGATACAAAACTTATTGTCAGCCACTCCAAATTTCTGTGGGAAAAACTGCAAAATTCCAGTTACTGGCTAGTTGATGGTTTCAGTATATGTAATCAGGATCAGGAAAAAGCATCAGAAGAAAGTTCAATACTGTCCTTAATACGGTTTAAACTGCTTGCTCCTGATGCAACACTCTTATCATCTCCCTAAAAAATGTGCCAAAAGTTTAAAGGAGTGGCACCACAAAAAATTTATTTTCTAAGGCAAATACAAATAGCTAAATGATGAGTATGCAACTTCACTTATCTTTAAAACAATTCTTTAGTTTCAGACATGCTATTTAATGAAAGCGCTGAAACACATTATTAAAAATATATGCAAAAAAAATCAGTCTCTCCAGACACACTTGTGAAAGGAGACATCACTGTAATATCCTCTCTGTTACTAAATACCAGGTAGATTGAACAGGTTTTTAAGGTGTTCGTTGTTTTGTTGTTTGTTTGGGATTTTTTTAATAGTTTCTCCTGTATATTTTATGGAGACCAGAAATACACAGCAAATCAAAACACCTGGTCCTTTCACTACACTTTTAATCCCATGATGTAAAGACATTTTTCCAAAACAAAGTAAATAAAATGAATTCTATCTTTCAGCAAAGGAGCTGAGGTACAAAGAAATGAAGACTTGCTTTTCTGAAGGAAAAAAAGAAACAAAAAAACACCATCCCTGCTTTCTTTTGAAATTAATGGAATCTGCAGGCTTGTTCCTTAAACATTCCTCACTTGCATAAAATGAGATTCAAAACCCAAGACCAAGGGAAATAAGCTAATGTATAATCTAATGGGCAAGGGAAAATGGCAGTGACATATACTTACTGTTTCTTTGCTTCATTATCCCCTGGGATTTGCCTTTTCTTTGGAGGTGGTGGTGGAGGTGATTCCTGCCTGGATTCTCTTACCACCACCTTTTCTTTTAATGACATTGTTTCTGCAGAAGTCTTCTGTGAAATCTGTGACATCCCTACACTTCCTACAGCTTGAGTTACCTATACAAAATGTTTTAACAAAAAGGGTTAAATATCATTTTCTAATGCAAACTGTAATTTGCTTGTTTAGTTCTTTTTAGTCATCAGTGAATGAAAGGGCTTTTATTACTCCTACAAGTGATCATACCTAGCCTTCAAAAAGTACTCATGAGTTATTGTTATCATAGATGCCAAAGCACTCCCAAGGAAAAGACCGTTATTCTCATTTTACAGATGGGAGTTATGCACCAAAATTCTCAGTTCAATGAGAATTTCGTGGTAGCAAAACTGAATTTAAATCAACACAATCCATTACCTGTATATTTTCTTCCACAACTGCTTGGTTCATTTAGAGAAAGAACCAAGGTTCTTTGTGTTTATTAACATACAGTTCTGTATCTGATACACATTCCCCACAAAATCAAACACGCAACTTAGAAAGAGCAGACACACAGAGTAGGTGACCTAAAAACTAATGTAAAAACTCACTGAAGTCAGTAGAATCCTTCCACATTCTTCCGTATGTTATAACATAAGTCACATGGGAATTATTCTGTAAGTTCTAGCTAAGCATGTGCTTGATATTTGGGGGGAGTGAATGGACAAGCTTGGGATTAAGCACTCTGCACTGCATTGACTCAAAAGCAAGAACAAAGTAAGGCTGAAATGGACACTACTCATAGATCATACAATTCATTTACTACATACTAAATGGATTGTGAAGAAGCACTGCAGCCATCACCATAATCATCTTTCAGTATCACCAAAAAGAGGCACATGAGACATAAAACTGTCAAAGTTCTCACAGATGCCAATGGGAGTTCTGTCTAAATGAAATATTAGCAAGCACTCAAAATACTAAAATAAACACTTAACAGTCCAGCTTGGCTGTCAACCTTACATATCAAACAAACAACTGCTCTGATTTCAACAGATAAGACATTGCAGATAAGAAATGCCTCTATGACTCCCATTTATTTATTTGTTCTGAGTTTTGTCTTTGTTTTCTTTTAGTATGAAATTTAGTCCACTCCTAGAACTCTTATAAATATTTTAAAGCATTTGTATTGATTGAAAATACACAGCAAGCTGCTTTACTCATCAGAAAAAATAAAGCTTAATCTCCCTGAGAACAGAGTAATGGTATTAGTTAGGTAAACAACTTGTTCTGAAAGTGAAAAACAAAACAAAACAAACCCAGACTTTTCCACAGATGATAATCACGTGAAAGAGAATTCATTGACCTCTAGCTAGATGCCAAAAAAAAAAAAAAAAACACCAGAGCATAAATAAGTACCTGGTTAGAGTAATCTTCTAGCTTCTGAACCAAACTGTCCCACCTCTGAGTTAGTTCCTCTTGATCATGGTCAATTTGATTGGATGCTCTGCTATTTCCAAGTATTTGGGCCACATCCTGACCCAGCTCATTCAGCTGGTCTAGCGTCTGCCGTTTCATACCCATGTCCTCTTTCAAAATCTGAGGTTAAAAGAAAATATTAAAACATAACAGTAGGAATTCTGCCACCTCTTGGCCACTAATTCCATGAACAAATCTACTACCTAAGACAGCTGTAGCATAGGTTTCTTGTGTAACAAAACATTAACGATACACTCAAGGAAAGCACATCCCTGAAAAAGCTATTAATCTGCTACAGCGCTCGAGTTACAGTTACAAATGATTGTTTTGAGTATAACCTGTATCAATGCATTAAAAAACAAACACACACACATCACAACTTGGAAAACACAGCTGCCTAGTGGACTACAGACTGTAAAACATTCTAAAAACAGGTTAACTGTTCCAAAGTAGGTCACACCAACCTAGAACGACCATGGAGAAAGTTGTATGCAGATTTTTAAAATTCAAGTGAAATAATCTGACAAGGAGAGACTGTAAGTCTGGTTACAGACTACAATGCATTCACAGCTCCTACTGGAGTCAAACTCATAACTTGCCATTCACTGAAACTCAGATTTGAAAGGATAGATCAGAATAAAAAATACTCACTGCTAGTTTTCGAACATTCACGCTCAGATCTATTTGGTCTCTGAAGTTGCTTGTCTGGACCTTACTTAAGGCATCTTCTTTCTCAGTTAACCAAGCGTTCAATAAGCACTGAGGATTACAAGGAAAATAACACAAGAACATGTCAAACAGCTATTGACAATTTCTTCTTTAAGGTCTTTACATTTCAAACAGTTCTAAAATTCCTACAATTTCAGTCCACATTTAACAAAATACTACATTAAAGGGGGACAAAAAAAAAATCAGACTGGAAAATTGAGTAATACTTTTCAGGAAGAAAAAAATACAACAATACAATCAGTATTTCCAAGTTATTCATATAAATAAAATATCCACTATAAGGCAGGATTTTTAAATACTGGAATTAAATGTAGCAAAACTGCATGTATGCTTGCTTTCATTCTCCACCCTTCTTCCTCTGTGATTCAAAACCAGCCATTACAGACAGTTTTCTCACAGAAGCCACATTGTTAATTCAGAGTCGTTTTAACCCAGACAGTCACAGACTCTAATGTTTATTAGTTACCACTGTGTTTAATATACCTACTTCCAGTTGCAAACTAGCTTTAAACACTATCTCATTAACTCCTGAAAGGTAGAGCAGTCTGCTCTGGAGATTACTAGCTCATGGCAAAGCAAGAAAGCAAGTTTTTAACTTTTTTTCTAGGAAATCTCTCCTGAGTCTCACTCTAGTCACACAGTACTCCTATGGAAACTCCAGCAGTAAACTAGCATCAAATGACAGGAAGGATTTTATACATTTTGTATTATTTTGTCACTACTGCACAGCTATCACCATAGACTTCACTATGCAGCTTTCTCATCAGTGAAGCTCAGTTGCGCACTGCTACCCCTCTATGTTGAAGAAAAATAAAATAAAATAATGGAGCAAGGCAGATAGTTTTTTCAGTGAAAACACACTTCAGAACAGACAGTAGCTTCTCAGTCCAGCTTTGGCCCAGAACTGAGTACAGCAACTTCTGGGCCAAAGGGTGAAGGCAGTTTTTTTTTTATTGCCACCGTAAAACAATGTGCAAAATGTACAGACAGCAAATGTTATAGTGGTGGAAACACTGTAAGGGCTGGGAGAACACCAAATACTCCTTCTTTGGAAAAATCAAGCTGCCATCCCAGCCAACTTACTTTATGTATAACAGAGGAGCTTAGAAATCCTTCAGTGTATACAATTAACTTCTGCTAAATCAGCAGTCAAAGATAGCTCTCCTTAGAAAACTGAAATATAATTATCACAGTGCTGAGAAATATCTGGCACTGATTGAGGAATTTGTTTCCTGAGTGGTAAGAATTGTGTTGAGTTGGCAATGTGGTTTTCAAAAAAATTTCTATTTAGCCACAAAAAGGCTTAAGCATCAACGCTGTTCATCTCCCCGCATGGCTGAGTGAAATGGAAAAATAATAGTACCTCAATGTTTTAGGTACTTCTCTGTTATCAAGATGTTTTAATCGATTTCAAATTGAATTTTTTGGTCCGTTACTTGATAGAAATCTGTAAGTCAAACCTGACAGTAATAAATGTGTTGTATCAACTTGAAAAATTAATGCAAACACAGGCTGACCTAAACCAGCTAAAATTAACTTCTACGTCCTGGTTACTTGATATCTGACATTCTACATTAAACAAGAACAAAAGGTTTTTCATTTTTTCAAAGCAATGTAATTACATGCAATTTAAAAAAAAAAAATTAAAAATCTGAGAGCCGAGCAAGTCCAATGGAAGCTGACACTCTCAATAGTTTTGTAACAGTCAGTAAATGGTTATTTTTCCATGTATAGCAAAAAAGAGTGGAAAAGGCTAGAAAAATGTTCACATAGAGTCATCAAAACAGCAGCTGTAGTCAGTACCTTGACATAAAGAGAAAAGCTTTTTTGGGATTCCTTATTTCTCAGTTCAGTGTCTTACCTTGCTTGAGAGTTACCAGAAAATGTTAGCACACGATTTTATATATATATATATGTAAAATATAAATATATACACAAGTACGCTAAGACAGTGTTTTAAAGTAAGAAATATACAGTAATGTGGCATTGGATAAGCCAGAACTTGAACCTTGCATCTATTTAACAGCAAGGATCATATGAGTCGCATTTTTGGATTAGCAATAGTAGATAGATACAGGAGGGGTCAAGGAGAATCACATACACAACCTAAAAAATGCAGACAAAACATCTATCAAAGAAACCAGGCTGTAACTGATAGCAACAGCAACAATTGCATCATCGGCACAGTTTGATTTCTTCTAAATATCTAAACACATTGTGTACTGCAGAGTTTAAACAATGGATTACAGCGATAAATGCCATTATTTAAGAAAACAAAACAATGGATTAGTAAAAACTTCAAAGGAAAAGTCATCAAATATTTTTAAGCTCATTCACAAAACAAGCTGAAAAGATGCAGCAGTTACTATTTTGGGTTTTTTTTTGGATGATAACAGCTAATTCATGTTTTAGTAGTATTCAAGGTCCACCCACAATGCACAGTATCAAAGCAAGAGAAAACTCACAATGCCATCTTCTTCACAATGTGACTGTTTGCCTAGACTCAGCAAACTGACCCAATCTGCATGTTTCACAATACTGACCTGTGTACCAGTTTGTGCCCCTTGCCTCCTATCCTGTTGCCAGGCAGCCTGATCCCATCCACTTGACTCGCACCCATTAGGTATTTACAAGCATTGGTAATATCCCTCCTTCTGTCTTTTCTTCTCCAGGCTGAACAGTCTCAGGTTTCTCAGTCTTTCCTCATAAGAGGAGATACTCCAGGTTTCTCCTAATAATCTTTGTGGTCCTCTGCTAGACTCACTCCAGAAGTTTCCTGCCTTTCTTGAACTGAGGAGCCCAAAACAGTAATCCAGACATGGCCTCACCAGGGAAGCTCAACAGAAGCTGTCAGTGCGCTGGCATTCCAGGATGTCAACGACAGCCAGGGCTGCATCCAAACAAGCACAGCTGGTAGGCCAAGGGAAGTGACTGTCCCCCTTCTACTATGCTCCCATGAAACTCAATCTGGTGTACTGCATCCAAATCTGGGTCCCCAGCAAAAGTACAAGAACTTCACGGAGCAAGTCTAGAAGAAAACCATGAGGACGACCAGAGCACTTTTCCTACAAAGAGGAGCTTAGAGAGTTGGGGCTGTTCAGCCTGGATAAGAGAAGGCTCCAGAGAGACCTCACTGAGGTCTTCCAGTACCTAAAAAGAGCCTATAAGAAAGCTGGAGAGTGAATTTTAACGTGAACGTGCAGTACAGTGAAAAGGGTAACAATTTCAAACTAAAAGAGAGTAGATTTAGACTGGATATGAGGAAGAAAAATCTTTACTATGAGGCTACTGATGCACTGGAACATGCTGCCCAGAGAAACTGTGCATGCTCCATCCCTGGGGGAGGGAAAAGGCTTTGAGAAACCTGATCTAGTGGAAGCTGTCCTTGCCTATGGCCGGAGGTTTGGAAGTAGATTATTTTTAAGGCTCCTTCTAACCATTCTATAATTATAGTTTTGTCAAAGATTCAGAGTGTAATGACTCTAATTTTTCTTATTTTGTAGAATTCATTGCAATCGATGAATATAAAGTAACAAAATTTTCAAAAGTATTAACCCCACAAGAACATTAAATAGCTACCATCAAAACTGTTTTATGAGGAGGCATAAAATTTCTTGCTAAAAGTTGAGTAAATACTTACACTGTACTGTTCAAGAAATATTGGGAACCCAAACAGTAACCAAAATTCTAGCTCTTTACAGCTATTTTGTGAGATTTTGTTAAACTCCACTAAGAGATACTTTAAGAAATAAAAAATAAAATTAAAAAAAAAAAAAAAAAAACACTGTGGTTAAAACACAGAGCTCACCTGCTCTTCTAGCAGCTCCTGCCATAAGAGCTGAATTTCTTGCAATTTGAGTCGTCTTTCCTCAGTCCAGCGACAAACTGCTGTCCACCGCTCACCCAGCTTCTGTAAAAGCAGGAAATATTCATGAATATTCACAAGCCTCACAAGGAAATCCAAAAATCAGATATTAAAAAAAAAAGTGTTTTCTTCACAGTAACCTCTTTCCTTACAGTAATTACCTTATTGCCATCAGCTGCCATTGTTGTTTTGCACAAAGCTTAAGGTTAAATATTTCAAGAGCATACACTGAACTTAGGGAGCTATATGATTGACCTCAAGAGGAGCAATTAAAATCTCATTTTATTAAAATCTCCATTTTAATCGATCTTTTTTTCTAAATGCTTTACTAGGGATACAGCATAACTAAAAAATAAAATAAAAAATAATAAAAAAAAAATCAACCAGGAAAATAATTCATACAGTATTTCCTAGACAAATTCTGTTCACGTGTTTATATATTTTTCCATCAAATTATAACCCTCTGATGAAAATTACCTACATGAAATGAATAATTGTACTGTGTGTTTCCCCATTTTAGTGAACCTGTTGAAAAGATGCATCTCAAAAGTGCCTAAGTCTGGGGGTGCAAGCAGCTTGACTAGTTAGGAATTTAGTCTGAAAGTCAAATAACTTTCATAGGTTTTATGCTGAGCAAGTTTAAGAATTCTTTACATTAATCTTACATTTAAAACTGTATTACTTAAAATTGCTTTCTAAGACAAATTGTCTTTAAGCACAAAAATGTTGATTAGCAATTATATGCAAATATTTTAAATGCTTGCAATTAAAAAACAAAAACAAAAACCACTAGCACTTTACCTGCAATTGTTCCTCCAGAATAGCTGTTGCACTCTCCCCACTGCTTTCATCAACAATGACAACCATGTGCGTTAGAGAGTTTACTTTCACTTGTTCTGCCTCCAGGTCATTCTGCAAGCTCTAGAAAACACATCACTGATTACAAACTGCAAATATTTAGCAAGACTGCTAGAAAATAATCTAAAAACCTTTTGTTAAAATACAAATAAATGTTTCTGAAAACAAATAAATGTTTTTGAAAGTATGCACCATTCTTGTCTAGAAGAATCACATGACAGTTGCACTGAATTTCTATACATCTACTGCTATAGATAAGAGAACCTATCCTTTGATACTTGCTTAACAATATATATATTTTTAAATTGAACACATATGTCAAATGGAAAAACCACTATGAACATTTAATAATTGACATTTCTCAAAACCTAAGTACCAAATACAATAGACACAAACTGATACCTAGCAACTGCAAAAAGTGTACCACTCCGATTAGTTTAAAGTAACCTGTACATTTAAATCTTCATACAACTTCTGGCAGCTAAGTTTCTGGTTGAAGCCTACCTCTCAAATAACTCTGCAATATTCATACGCCTTTAAAGTACTGTAAATATCACTTTCCATCCCAAAAAATCTTAAGCTACTGTATGATCAACAGGTCTCGAGCTCCACAGCCTTTGAAGACAAGCAAAGAATGCAAGTGTGGGACAAGAAACTACACAGGCTAAGAATACTTAGCAGTTCTCGCCTTGTGAGGTATGCCCCAAGTCAGAGAGAAGGTCAAACCTCAGCACTGACTGCAAAAACCAAAGCTGCAAGCATGACAAACATTAAAAGATCACCTTTCAAAAAACTACTGCAGGCTAGAAAGGCTATACTTCTATACAGAAACTTAACTGAGAATCAAACCAACTAAAAAATGTTGTACACAGAGAGTGGTATCTATACACTTCCTTACAACGCAATCCCTGTAATAGCAGGGTGTAGAATTGAGAGGTCATTCCCAATACTTTTGACTCCCATGTTATTTTAAGTGGCAAATCTCAAATACGCCTTAGCAACGCTTAACAGTCATTAAATGTCTGTTATCTACAAGCATTTCATACTGTCCCTTACAGCAACAATTCACCTGGAAAGGCCTCATTTCTTGCATGAAGCAAAGATAACACAGTTTCTTCTATATTCATCAGCGCTAACGTATTACAGAATGTCCAGTTGCTCATCCTCATCCTTTAGAAAGCTCCTCAGCTAAGGAAACCTTCCAATCAACACTTCACATTACAGAAGAAAGGCTTACTTTGTGTTCTTCTAGCTGTTTCTGAAGGGCCACTAAATCATCAGCTAAAAGTTGAGATTCCATCTTCTGAATGCGTTCTTCTGTAACTGTCAGCCAGTCAGACAGCTGCTGCAACTGCTTCTTCTGTAGCTCCATCAGCATGTCATGCAGGCTACAGGGGAAATACAGGCAGAGTCATTTCAGAAACAGTCTTCCCAGGGAAACAAACTAAGTTCTACTTACAAAAGGAAACAAGTTAAGTATCATCAAATAATAGTGAATTATGCAATTTATACTACAGACTGTTTTGAAACTGCAATTTGCTGCTACCAGAACCACCACTGCTGAGAGCTGCAATCTGTTTCTTCCTTGATGTGTACCTCTGAGCTTGATAATGCATTGGTGGGAAAAAATTCCATTAACTGCTCTTTAACTCTGGAAACACATAAAGCTATTCACATCTGCTGTATCTTTTATTCAGGAACTTAAGCTACTGAAAATATTAAAAAACACATTTATGTAACTACTGCATGTAGATACCATATATTTAGTCTGGTACGCTTATATAACAGAAGTCTTAAAATACTCTTACTTAAGAATCCAAGAAAAGTTATATCCATTTCCTCTGTTTATGTTGGAAAGTACGAAGAGGATGGGCTTCAGAATTAACTTTTCAGTTTGTGACACAAAAAAATGTATCCCACAAAGCAGATAAAAAGCAGTTCCTCTGAGATGCAGTATGCAACAGAAGCCAGTCCTGCAGCTTTAGGAGAGGTTGTGAGGCATGACTCACCGGGACTGCCTGTCCATGCTCTCCACCCTGAGCTCCTCCCAGCGGGAGTTCAGCAGCAGCATTTGTTCCTGAATCTCAAACTCCTCTTCAGGTGACAGATTGCCCTGTGCCACCAGCTGGTTCCCAGCCTGCAGGACACTGCCCACACTGCTTTGGTGTGCGGTCAGTTCCATCATAAAAGCCTGGAAAACAGTACAAGGAGGCACATCACTGATCCGTGAGCTCCTAACAGGAGTCTGCATTGGTACAGTCTTTGAGCAAATGCACCAAGAACTTACCAACTAACCTATGATCAACAGCAAATAAAATCTAAAGTGTACCATAAGCAAGTAAATTGAACTCTAAAAGTTATTAACTAAAATTCATATACTTAGTGAAAATCCAGAAGACCTCTTTTCTTTTGTTCACAGTTTTAAAAGTTCATATTGATCTGTAATCATATTTTAGATGAAGTTGTATACAGTAAGCTGACACAGGAGAAAACTAAAACATCTAACATGACACTTCAATCTTTCTGCAACATTAGAATATTTGACTTTGAAAGAACAAAAACAAAATAGTTAAAAAAAAACACCACCAAGATTCAGAAGTAAATGCATTTCTGAAAACTATACTAATCAAGACAGAGAGACCACTGAATTAAACTGAAATGATTACCGATTTCACAGCAGATAACATTGGGCAGATCAAGCTTTTCAGAAGCTGGCAGAGAAATGAGAATCAGGCTGAATTAGACTGTTTTTGTAATACGGATACTGCAAATGAAGCACTAGAACATGTTGTCCAGAGAAGCTGTGAATGCTCGATCCCTGGAAGTGTTCAAGCAAAGGCTCTAGGCAACCTTGTCTAGTAGAAGGCATCCCTGACAATGGCAGAGGTGTTGGAACTAGACAGTCTTCAAGTTCTCTTCCAACCCAAATAATTCTATGACTATGACACCAGTGAGCCAGCCACAGAAAGCCAACTAAAAAAAAGTTTCAAAACCTGCTATACTGCAAGTTTCTCCTAGGAAGATCTATTTCACTGCCAAATGAACAATTATTTGTCCATTAAAAAAAAAAAAAAAAAAAAGTTACAGGTGTTTTTAATTTGCCAAGACAAAAGAAACAGACTAGCAGTATTTTGATAAGGACTAAAAAAACAGAAGTTTTGCAGCCCCTACACATATACACACACACAAACAAAATACAAAAAACAAACTAACTAACTAAAGAACCAAAACCATGAAATAACTTAAGAAAAGCTTACTGCTTACTTCATGGGTGGCAAATTGCTCTTTGACTTCTTCAACATCACCAGATATTTCTTCCTGTTCCCGAAATGCATCTTCAGCTGACAGCAACCACGTGAGGACTTCTTCCAGAGCAACTTGGTAGCTATCCAAGTCCATATCCACCTCTGTCACTGTGCTGGGGGTCTCTGCTCTAGAACTGCTCTGCTCCTCTTCAAGTGCTACAGCCTAGGCAACCAAGAGAAAAGTGACATCTTCAAAAAACTGAAAAGATGCTTTGAAAAATGATACTAAGAACAATTAAGATCCCTTTTAATCCTTCTTAAAATTTTAAAACTGTTAGGTACATTTCTAATGAGAGTGGCCAACAGTTACCACTAACAAACTTTCACTTTAAAATAAAGGATCTGGATAGAAAACTTTAATTTTACTAATTTAAAAGGGCAGTGGACCTCCCACAGAAATAAATACCCACCAAATCCCATCACCACTAGCAGCCCTGCTGCTAACTCTGTTGCAGACTTCAGGTTACTCTCTCCAGCTTCACAAGATAAAACAGGAAAATAAACTAAACAGACAAAACACACATAATATAGATGTTTCTACCTCAGTGAAAAGGAACATATACATGAATCAGAAAAGGAAAAGGAAGATAAAGTCGATGAAGGCAATCAAAAAGATGGCAATGATTTTTCATATTTTCCCAATTATGTTGAATAAGATAGAAAGCATGTTCCAGTGAACTGACAAGCCTGAAGATCAGCTAAAATTACAACTCAAGACCCAGCCAGTCTTCAATAACAAACATACCTGCTTCAAGCTGAATTCTCCATCTTCACATTCCTGCTTGAATCTCCTTGGAAGGGTCTCCACTTCCCGAATGTCTTCCATGGTGACTTGCTTAGGAAGGACCTCAAACAAAGATGTTAAATACATAATAATGGACTTTTTGTCTGGAAGTGGTACAGCAACATCTGCATTAAAACCAAAAAAAAAAAAAAAAGGGAACAGGGATTAATAAAGAAACTGCTTTTCTAAATCATTACACAGAGTACAGTTCAGACAGTAATATTTCACACACAGAGCAAAGCACAGGTTCCCCTGTTAATCAGCTCTTAGTAAGCTTTTGTCTAAAAGACCAAGTGTTTATGCATGTTGAAAGCATGAAGTACAAAGGAAAAAAATGATATAAAAATAATTTTCTACACTACATCAAAAGGCATGACCTTTTTGAAGACCCCAAACCTGTGGTTACTGAGGAATAAAAATGGTTTTGGAAACATTCTTGAGCATTTCCCAAGAAGAAATGCAGTTCAGGAACAAAATCCCTCAAAGAGACACTTCTACTTGAGTTCTATCCTCACTTTCAGCAATGGTCAGTTCATTTGTTTTCTCTTCATACAGAAAAGAGTTTCACAGACTCTGATTCACATATACATCAGGTTATGAGTTCTACTAATTCAGCTTACTTTTAAAAAATAAAAAGTAAATAAAAAGGTCGTGGTGCTTCAATCTATAAAGTTTGAGATTTTGTCATATAGAACACATCTTCAGAGATTCACTTCAAAACAGAGTGACAGCTCAGGGTTTTAAGAAAGGGCCATACAAGTTTCCTGATGAGTATTCACAGTAAGTATTCACAGCACTACAGCTACTGTTACATACAGTGTTTACAACAAAGAATAAAAGATCACAAACTCTTAAGCAATTCCATTCTACAAAGTGCTGTTCATCAGAAAAGTATATTTGCAATAGAACCCCTCCCTAAAATAAAAGTTGGTACACGTTTTTGTTTATGTTCCTGTACACTGCCTCTGAAGGGTAAGCCATTCTGAACCTTAACATTCAAAGAAGAATGAAACTTAAACACACATACACAAGCATACTCTCACCCTACAATTTACATACTTCTAACTTCAAATTTAAGGGACCAAAACAAAATATCACTGCACAAAATTGCTGAAATTTGTAGCAGTAAATGTCTATATAAGAAATTTTCTTGAAGAAAAATGCTTCATATCTCAAGTAGAATAACTTTCTTGCACCTTCAGGATCCAACAGTTTCTCAATTCCCAGGTGGTTTTTGGCTATGCTGAAAGCATGTTCCAGTCTCTCAATTGGAGACATCATTATAACTTTATCCCAGCTGAAGAACTCAGGTCTGAAAGTAAAAGACAAAACAGAAAAAAGAACAGCGAATTTAATTTAAATTTAAAGACACATACCATTCAGAATTTTAAGTTATGGACGTCGAGGTAGCTACATAAGTAATACAAACATGAACATACATACAAAATACAAATTCCAGTGTATATTCACAAACACACAAATAAAAAATATTCTGGCAATCACTAACAGGTAAGTGACCACATGTCCACAGCACCATCCGCATTTCATTCTTATATATACTAATTAAATGCAACTATAGATTAAGTGCTAATAACTAGAAAATAAGTAAATCCTGTGTTTCAAATTTCTTCTGGAACTAGTTTTCTCCAATTCTTTCTTTTTACAGTGTTATTCCCACTACGGGATTTCTGTGTCAGGCCATGCTATGTAATCACTCTATTTCTAGAGAGCCTCACTCCAAACTTGTGATGTAGCTCAGTGACCAGCCGAGACCATTATAGCCAGAAACAGGAGTCTTCACACCTGCTAACCTAGCACACCATGTGGCCTTTATCCCTGCTTTAAAAAAAATCTGAAGCATCCATGAGTCACATTGTGAGCAGATAGATTTACAGCACCAGCAGCACAGCACCCTTCACCTTCCATTCACGTTAACCAAACCAAATCTCCAGCCCAGTTGCATACCCAAAAACATAGCAGATCTAAGTGGTAAAGAGCAGAGTATGGAATAAGAAAAAGTATCAGCAAAGAGGGCCCCTCCCATTGCTATGTATACCCACAGGGCATGATCAGCCTAATGCTGCAGCAACACAGCCATAAAGCTATGAACCATTAAAATACTTTACATTCCTCTGTATAGTGGCTCCTCATCAAAATGCTGCTATTGATTCTGCGTTCCGCAGAAAACTGGGGATGAAATGATGGGTTTGACTTCAGTTCTTTTAATTCTCATTTCAGTTATAAATTGACCTGAGAGTATTATTTTAACATGTGCTGAATCATCACATGAAATAGGAAGGCTGTAAACCAACAGGTCTGAGGAGCAAAAAGCCAGAATAAAAGCTGAGGCAGGGGGGCAAATATGTAAAGATCCCAGTATGTATTTATGGAATACTGTACTTCAATGCAAGAAGCAAAAGACAGCCGCACAGATTCACAAAGCTTTGTAAGAGACTTTTACTTTGAAAAACATTTTGCAACAAATGTATTAGATATGCACTAACCCTCCTAGTGCCATAGTAACACAAATTCTAATAGAATGCAACCTAGGTATTGACCTAGGAGCAAAAAAAAATGTACCAAAGAACAGAATTCAATTCAAAGAAGAACTTGGCTAATATTAGGAAATGAGAGAGACTAACACAATAAAATGTTTTATGTCCTATTATCTCATATAACTTAAGTACTGCAAGTGTTACAAAGTTATTAAATATTACAACCAAGAAGTAAAACTATAAGCGATTATTCATAGACACAAAGAGAAAAGCGAGCTACTAAAGTTCTTAATAGGAACCACAAAAACTCCCCTATATTACGTGTCCGAGGACAAAACTAAATAAAAAACACAATACTGAAAGTATTCCTTAGGCAGGGAGGCAATACTGATCCAGGTAAGCTAAACAGCTTTGTTGTCCTACCAATTCTGCAACACGCCTCAATCCCTTTGTTTCCTGCAAGGGTCTTTTACAGGTTCTCTCTTTCAAAGGCTGCCTAGATTTAAAGGCAGCTCAAGAGTTCTGAGAACTGTGGGGAAAATGGTGTTCCACTGAAAGACTGCAGGTGTTAAGAATTCTGAGCTTGCCAGGTTCCCAGAAGAGGGACTATAAGGCTCAGAGAGAAGAGCAAATAGACAGCTAACTACGAGAGAAGTTTTCCAAAGCCAGAGGAAAGCACAGTCATGCAAAGGTTTCATCAGGGGCTCTTGCTACACAGCAGTGCTTTGAAAAGGGCAGAGCTCACAGATTTCAGAACTCAGAAAGCCCAAGCAGAAAGTCACAGGGCATAAGGTCCACAAATAGCCTAAAGCTAATTTTACTACCTCTGTCCTTCTCAGTATTCATTCTTAGGAACACGAGTCTCACCTGTATCTAAAGCTGGTGCTCTAACACAAAGCTTTATGTTCACTGGCAGAGCTATGCCTCTACAGACAATTACGCTGACAAGAAAACCACCTGTAAAGATCACATCTTGTTAACACTTCTGACAGCGTAAACACCAGAGACTTCCATTAGTATTTCTCTGCCTTTTCCAAAAAAGCACTTCCAAACTTTCAGAAGTCCTCAGAATGGGTATATGCTCCCCATATATGCATGCAGGCTGAACACCAGCGAGTTCCTGAAGACACACAGGTACATCAGACCGCACCCAGGCTGAAAGCAGCAAGCCTGTGATAGTTCAGTCAGCACAGGCTGAAGATCAGAGAACAGCAGGCTCAAAGTGAACACTTTACCAACACGCAGAATATTCATACCCAGCATGTATGAACTATTTGCTATGACAGCTACCTGGTGGCTAAGAGGTAGTATCATCATGCCATTATCACACTGAAATAGTAAAGAAGTATGGTAAAGATAATAGTAAATAAGTAAAAATATAGTAAAAAAAAAGCATGGTAAAGAACAGTCAACCCATGCAAAAGAAGAACTGCCTTCATTTAAGTTGCCCAGAAGCAGACAGATCACACACACAGATAGCGAGTGTTGTAGGAGTCTGTAAAATGAAGATATCTATAGGCTCCCCAAATCAGAAAGAACACAAGCTGTTTTAACACAATTCATTATAAAATATAAAGAAAAACTACTCTGTTCTCCTTTCATTCTGCTACTCAACAAAAAATGAAAAAAGTTGCCCTCCTGAAAGTGCTGAATACAGAGTCTTTCAAGTAACATATATTGAAAACCTAAAAAGAGCCACAAAGCCCATCTTTCTCATTCCTTCATTTTGAAGCTTCTGTACTTTCCTTCTGAAGTGATATGGCAAACTGAAGGAGGAGTTTTTCCCATTGCATGGGAGGGAAGATAAAATGAAGAAAGTGCAAGGAGAAGCAACGTAACTGATACAGATCAATCAATATTGATATCCATTCAGCATACTCTCTGTATAGTAGGATGTAAATCCAGTTAGTGAGTGTGCATGTGAGAATTCTGAGAGTTGCACTGCTGCCTTGGCTTTGTTTTTGGCAAGGGTCCAGCAATATCTATGCATTGTTATTGTTACTACAAGAAAAATGAACTACTGAAACAGGCTAGAAGCCTACAAACGCTCAAGCACAAAGACACAGGCAAAAAAAAAAAAAAAAAAAACCAGCTTACTTCAACAGGTAAAAGAAGAACTATGTCACTTACTTGTGTCTGTGGATGACAGCATTAAAAGCAAGTCCATCTGCCCAGCTCGTTGTGAAGTTCAAAACATTGACTTGACTGTAAGGTCTTGAGGACTGCCGAACCCAGCTCAACAGGATTTTCTCACTGTTGGTCTGCTGCAAATCTGACATGATATTCTTCATGACATCCTTCACCTGCAAGACAGCAGCACCTACATCTTACAGACACGTTCTCCGCTTCTCCTGCTTACAAATCTTTTGAACCAAGCTGATTTACAAACCAGGAAAGCTGCTTTTCCGTGAAAAGCTATGAGTCAAACTTTAACTCTTTATATGAGAGGTAGGAATAGGAGCCTTCAGGCCATCTTTACTCTCTACTGATTACAAGTACCAATAAAGCACCATGTAATAAATGACAAGTTACTCCTACATTACAGCCCTCCCCCGCTCCTCAGTGCCGCCAGCACTCACCATGGGGTATAATATTTCTTACTGCCTTGCACTGGGGTTCCATTAGTAAACAAACCCCAAAAATACAACTTTGCAGAGGCTTTTGGAAAGAACAGGATAACTGTTCAGCCAACACAGGAAGTGTGCTGTTTGATGTGCTATGCACAAGCATCCGCTGAAGTCCCTCCGAGTGAATCCAGTGATCCTCTCAGGTATGAGGATAAACTGGGAGTAATTCAATCTATGACGCTGAGAAACAAACCTCCAGAGCTGCATAAAAGATGCAAGCCCAACAAAGCTACCAAGATAGCAGAAAAACACCTGCAAACGTAAGTGCTTACATCTCCAGGAAGAAATATAAACGTTTTAGCATTTAACAGCCCCAGGAACTGAGTGAGTACAACGGAGGACATATGAGAATACACATCACAGGAGGCAGCCAACAGACAGAGGTCAGAAACCAAACACTGGCCTGTCTTTATTTACCAGCCTAGAATAGAAACGCTGGTTGTTTTTTTTTTTTACACTGCAAAAACTCCAGAAAGGTTTGTGAGAATCCCAGATTAGACATGCATGATTCCTGGAAGGGAAGAGATCTCATTACATCTTCCTCACCTGCCAATGCAAGATAATGCTCCACAGAAGCCCCAGTGTCAGCTTGTGATTTCCATCAACGATGTCAGTTCCCCCTATATTCACCAACTCTACCTGGAAAGGACAGATCAACTCTATCAAACAACACTGTCAAAGGTTAAAGCTTTGTGTGAATGAGCATCCCAAAGGGACAAGTTTCCACAAGGAGACAAAAAACTCAAGAAAAAGTAAGATGTTCAAGTTTTCTATATGCCTCGGACATTCAAACTGAGAACATTATAAAAAAAATGGGGAGAGAGGAGATTACTTCAGTACACAAGAGAATACATGAGGCTACCCACTCCAGCATTAAGTATTCAGTACTCAGGAATAAGCTTATAGATATAGATATAAGCTCTAAGATAAGCTTAGAGCACCCTACCAGACACTCACTGCTACTTTAGAGTCTGAATAGAGGCTACCCTTCTCCATTCAGTCAATGAAAAGAAGCACCAAGCTCCATCTTTTGGAGGAACCTAGCAGCACACTGCATTAATCATCACCATGGTCTATGGAAACAGCTAGTAACAGCTCCATTTGGCAGAGAAAACAAATACCCCCATGCAGCAGATGCTGAAACATGTTTCCATACAGTGCAGAGAGCTGGGCTTAATTCTCACAAATAATCTGAGCCATCCTCCAGTTCCACGGACAAATAATACTGTATTTCAACTCTGTGGTGAGGCTTTTCTCTCCCGTTCTCATCCTGGCTCCAGAACAAAGTTGTACCGTCCAGTTCCCAGTTTACTCTACCCCTAAGAGCTGTATCTGGGAACAGCACTGTTCATATTGACAAAACCCACACCAAGGAGCTGGTTAGCAGTTCAACAATATGGACAATCGGAGGACAGTGACTGAGCCCACCCTCTGGCTGTCAGTGGACTTTGCCTAGAATGATAGAATAGGCAAAAACTATACAAAGTTTCATTTTATTTTATAAGACATTCCTAGTATGCAAGAACATAATGGTTTTCTGTGAATATTTTTCCTGTTATCAAACAATCTTCAAACAAACTGCCTCATTCTTTAGGCTGAGTAGCTTGACTTCTGCAAAACATATTTGTAACCTCACTGCTTTCAGATACCATGTATGCAATTTTCAGTTCCACATAGCTGTCCCAATTAATGAAATCAAACCCAAACTTTGCTGTTGAGATTAACATGGAACCACAAGTTATGCTCCAAAGTTCTTGGATTTGTGGATTGACCTCTCCAGTTCTTACAGTAGTTGGAATGGAATTTTAATGCAAACTTCTTTATAAATAATGAGGATATACTTTCTTGAGGCAACTGTAAATTGAGCAGGCAAAAACACATTGAAAATGCTGTCAGTGCCCACCATTACATAATTCAGTCTAGGACACTGTAGAACACACGGAGAAGGAACACAAAAATAAAACACTTATATGACAAAAGCTTTTTTCACCTCAACAGAAGAGAAACATTCCTGAAAATGGGTAACAAAAAAAAAAACACTTTTTTTTTAAAATCACAAGCATAATTATTGTTAGTACTGTAAGTACTGTATTCCCCCTGCAATCTACACCATACATAAAAGAATCCATATGCCCACTTTTGTATTTTAATGACTTTTTTATTAAACCAGTGCTTTTCAGCACACAGCCAGGAACTCACCAAATGGTTAATGCATAGCTATGACTTAAGCAAAGTCAACCAATAAAAGAATGCTGACAGTAGACTTCTAATACTACTGAAAATAGATGGATATTGGCTATATATAATGATTTGGTTTTTCTTCTTTTGCTTGCTTTGAAATAACAAACTGGTCCATAAATCAAAAAAAGTTTAAGTTCATTACGTAAAGTCACTCAGCTCATCAGATGCATGAAGTCCTATCGTCATTTGAACACCTACATCTTGTAAGGTTTGCCTGTTCCTTGCAATGTGGAGTTTAAAAATTTTGTAAGTTGTTTTCAAAGTTATGAATACTGTACAGGCCACAAACTCTCGGGTCACAAAAAGCAACTGCTTCTTGGCTTTCCCTTCATCTTAAACACAAACACAAACAGTAGGTATAAATCATACCTGACCTCAGTAACTTTCAGCTAACTAACACCATCTGTTTACTTCTAGAAACACTAGCTTATGGAAGAACTAATTAATTATGTAACTCAATATCATTTCATTTATTATATTCATAAATTAAATTAATTTCAAGCTGGAAAGACCTATTACTTATCCTTAGGAAAAAAAAATAATCAATATTTACAGTACCTCAAAGAAGGAAAACAAACAACCCACCACTAAACTTTGGCTGCTTCCTAGAAATATGACACTGGGAAATTGCAGTATTATATAGCACATTCGTGTAACTCTTCAATCAGCAGTTTACATAACTATGCCAGTGTCTTTTTCATTAGATGTATTTCTTTGCCAGAATGTTGTTATTAAACTATTTCAGTGCCTTGAAATTCACAAATAGAAATTCTAATTATAGACAACTATGCTTATCAGGAGTTGTTGTCCAGGGAAATATAAAATTACTTTGCTACAGCATTACTAGTTTCTGGACAGTAAGAACAAAAATTAAAATAAAAGAAACAGCTATTACTCCCATTTTTCTTTAAGATGAGTGGCTGAAGTTTTCTGTTTGCTTTTCCTGATCAATTAGCAGAGCAAAGTCAGGAACGCTCAGGAAAGATTTGACAGCTGTCACTGGAAAGATCTTCATGCATTTTGAGAGCGGGACATGAAAACATAGAGACACAGTACCTGTCATAACCTCAGAGACTGTTGTACAAGTCATGCACCTTCACTGGAAATTAGCTATTTGTCCTGACATGCTCATGGTCATTGCATAGCAGGGTTTCAAGCCAGCTTTGTTTTCAAAGCTGAACACATCTTAGTAATTCTAACAGAATTTAGTTATACTGGGATTAAATTTACATTTTAGGATTTCACAACGTTGTCAGACACTAAAATAACACTGGATGAAGAAAACAATTTACCTGTTGAATTCTCATTTTAAGTGTTACAATCTTTATTCCATTCATTACAAACACATTAACAACCAAGAATAAATATAAAAGTATAACAAAAAGAGATGTGGAAAAGCATGCTTACATTGTTTTGATGTAAGACTTGCAGTACTCGGTTGACATTATTTAAGGCATGTACTCTGGTGGAACCTCGTTCTTTAGGCTGAAAAAGATTGACAATGTTTGTATCAGAATAAATTTAGCGGATCAAAGCAAAATAAATGAGTGAGCAACAGAAAAACTTGTCTTTCTTTTCTTGTGATTGTCTTTTTTTTTTTTAATAGAAAAAGAAAGTTCATCCACAATACTTCCAAGATAAACATCAAGATGAAAACTGATCAGAACAAAATTCCTCCATCTAAGGTACAGGACAAGTCTTGAGTTTTAAGCATGTTTCACTTCATCTTAGGCTGGAATTTTTATTTCCAGCATCTGCAAAATTATGTAGTGGCAATACAACAGCAAAATGGGAGTTCCGAAGGAAAATCTGAGGGTTTTGAATGTTTGCCAGAGTAGTTGGAATTTTTTTGCTCCCAAGAGTAAACAAGCAGCAATTCATTTTTCTGGCAGCAAAACCCTGCTAAATCTTTGCAAACTGGGAAGAATTTACACTTCCCGACCTTTTCTTCCTTTTAAAATTAGGAGAAAAAAAAATACCGCAACTCTTGACAGTGTCTGCCACTCCATTTGTTTTTAATCACCACAATTCAATTCCTGCAGTAGAACATCATCAAACTGCGAGAGTGTGAAGCTGAACTTGGAACACAGTAATCAACTGAATTAGAAACCAAGAAATTCTTGTTGTCCTCAATAGACTTCAAATCAGACCCCGAATCATTATAAGTACTTACTAGTGAAATGCATGTGTTCAGAAAAATAAGGCAAGCTGGAAAGGTAAAATTTTAAATGGCTAAAGATTTCCTGTTAAGAGCAATAAATCAACTTGAGATTTCTATAAAAAGTTAAATCAAGAGGTTAGTCCCATGTGATGGCACAGGTTTCACCTCATCTATCTGACTGAAAAGGCAACAGTGTTAGCAGGCTAAATGTTCCCAGTCCCACAAGCATGTTCTCAAATCTAAACAAAACTTGTTTAATTTTTCAGACTTTTCAAACTCTCTGGATCACAAAAGATTTTTCCAATGGCATCATTGGAATGCATGTTTTTCTTTTGCCTACTAAATGTTATCGTTCTTTCTTTCATCTTTAAGGGATCCTTCACGAGCATATTAGAAGCAGTTCATCCAGAAGGAGATCTTTAAAAACCTCTATTAAGAATACATACTGTGTGAACACCACCGCTGGCTTTACCCGCTTCGCTAAACAGCACTTAACCCTCAAATGCAACAGTTACACAAATGGTTTCAACCTGACTCTATATAATGTATCAGTAGAGTTCTGTGGAAATTCACTGGAAACATAGACAGCAAGTCAGACCATACTCTAGAAGGACTTATTTAAACAAACAACAACCAAAAAAAAAAACCACAACAGCTTGTTTTATCTTCAACATGAATACACATTCATGTACATTTCTCTTACCAGAGGTTTCCCTGTCAGACCTTCCAAAAGGTCCAAAAGCTTCCTTCCATCTTTCAGATCTGTGAACATGTCCTTGACTGGGGGTGTCCCACTCTGCGGAACAAACAAACAAAAGTGGTAATAAAAATAATGTTTAAGCAGTACGCTCCTGAAAAGGACACTTTCTCCTTTTTATCTGTAAATGCACTGCTTTGTTACTGAACGTAGTAGATAAAAATCAAGGAACTATGACAATGATCAGTAAGATATCCTTCTTTTCTGCCCTGTATTTTTCCATCAGCAGCTTAATACTGAGAATGAGCATATCCTGGCCAACACTGGGCAGATGCAGGAGTAGGCAAAAGACAAAACCTGGCATATTTAAGGAATTATTTGTGAAAGAATGCTATGGTCTAACGTCAGCTAGCGGAGGAGGTAACTGGGGCTTTTCAGAAAGAATCCATTGGGACAAACTTTCTCAGAGTGAGAGGGGATTAAGACAGCTGCTGACTGTGCCATCAAGTAAGAGCATTTTTTTTTTAATACTCATTTGCTGGCTGCCAGGAGATCAGTTAAGCTGTCCCCTTGAAAAGTCAATTTGAAAAGAAGAATATTTTCTTAAAAACAAACCTAAAACTCTAATATTGCCTTTTTTCTATTGCTTTGTTTTGTAACATTGCTAGTCAGAAAGAAGGCTGTCAAAGGTCCATCTGACATGAATTAGCTGACACAGGCCTTCTGTACCTTCACACTCCTCCTGTCTCAATGTCCACTAGTAACTTAAAAAATAAAAAAAACCTACTCTCTCAATCCTATTCTCTGACAAAATATCTGTTTTCCTCAAGATATCATTAGGGGTTTCCTTAAATGTCAAGTTTTACCAGGTTTGATACTACTAGAACTATGCACACAAAATCAGAGTTAAGTAGCTGGGGAGCCACATTTCAATTTTCTGTACAGAAACACATCTCACTCACTCAGTTTCAGCCAGCTGAACTAACTACAAAAAGGACAACCATATAAGTAAGGCAACTTAGTTAAAATACACAGACATTAGCCTGTTTCTAATGGTAAATTAGATCCAAAAAGGGTTTTCTGACAAATTTATTTTCTAATTACTTTCACAAGTCTTGCCTGAAAGTGTGCACATTACACATTCACGTGTACTTAGGTAAAGGATGTGGAAACATACACAGCTGGTAGACAAACATCCAGTAGAAGCATTCACTAAATCCCAGCATATGATAATATTTTGTCATCACATACTGCCACTGCCTAAGCTCAACCATACACGTTCTAGGGCACAAAGCTTTCACCCTAGTGCATGCACTTCTCAGATGATTCAGATGTTTTGCTACTCACAGCAACTTGACTAAACCTTTATAGCATGCTGGAGCTGCAGGACAGGAAACCTCTTGTACAGTTTGTGGTATGTAATGGGAGGAGGTGATTCACAGGGGCAGTATAGTGAAATAAATCTGATTTAGATTTGGTTTGCATCACCATACAGAAGATACTGTTGGTAAGGGCATGGAGAAATTGTTCACTTGTACAGATGGGTAGACAGCAGGAGCTAGCAGAGGTCTGACTGGATGTAATACTACCCAAACACTGTTGTGATAGCAGATGCCCATAAGTCATAAAGTGGTTGTGCACAACCTATCACAAGCAGGCAGTATGGAAGCACAGCACATACAATCACAGGACACAGAGGAATTCAGACAGGTTCTACTGCATACGCCTATGGATTTCCTCCCCTTGGCAACAAGTTATCAGACCAACTACTAGTTCCCTTTAAGTTCCAGAAAGCATTTAATTACTTCAGCTAGATACTGACTGCATTAAATCCAGTCTCTGCAAACAGATGCATAAATTAGACACCTTCTCATGTAACAGACCACTAAACAATTAAAGCAACGTACATACATATAACACACAGATTGGAACCATCAAAATTGAGAATGCTACAGCTATATATCCTCAATAAGTTCACTGCTGTAGATCCAGAAGTTAAAAATAAAGTCTAAAAAAAAAATAATTGTTGAAAAAAGCAGAAAAATGCCTCATTTAATACAATGCATCAAGGATGCTGAAAGCATATAGCCTTCTCTATCCCATTCCCTCCCTTTCCAGTCACGAAAGCAAAACAAAAGACTTGCTAATTTCACTCATTAATTTCAACAGGCCGTGGTACATCCCAGCCCCATCCAATGCATCCTGCTGCAATAGTAAAAATAATTCAGATTCACTTTCTCAAGAGAATCCTTTTTTTTCATTTCATTGGCCCTCAGAGCATCACATTGTTTGTTTGGAGAGTAAGCAGGAGAACATTAAATTCTTTCTGCAATCCAAACTACTCTCCCCCCAAAGGACCTGGGGGTCTTGATGGATGAAAAACTTAACATGAGCCAGCAGTGTGCCCTTGCGGCTCAGAAGGCAAACGGTATCCTGGGCTCCATCAAAAGAGGGTGGCCAGTAGGGACAGGGAGGTGATTGTCCCCCTCTACTCTGCTCTTGTGAGGCCCCATCTGGAATACTGTGTCCAGGTCTGCAGTCCCCAGTTCAAGAAAGACAGACAGACTCCTTGAAAGAGTAGGTAATAGCAGGACAAGGGGAAATGGTTTTAAGTTGAAAGAGGGAAGATTTAGGTTGAATGTCAGGGGGAAGTTCTTTACAGAGAGAGTGGTGAGGTGCTGGAACAGGCTGCCCAGACAGGTTATGGATGCCCTGTGTACCTGGAGGTGCTCAAGGCTAGACTGGATGGGGCCCAGGGCAGCCTGGTCTAGTATTGAATGCAGAGGTTGGTGGCCCTGCACGTGGCAGGGGGGTTGGAGATTCGTGATCCTTAAGGTCCCTTCCAACCCTGGCCATTCTGTGATTCTGTGATACTTTTTCCTTACTAAAGTATGTGCTCTTCCCATAATGGAGACACAGCAACATTAACAGCCTCTGTACTTAATGGGTGTAGCCTTTCAGAGCATTCTCTTTGGGAAGGAATTCAGTTCACAAGAAACTCTTCTGCAAGCACAGAGTAACTGAGGTGGCAAGAAGGAGCTGTAGTACCCACCCACAGCCCATCACCACCTCCACTGCAGCACAGCCATCAAGAAAGCTGGAAATTTGCCTCCCTGGCTTCCCATGGGTGCACCTGAGATGTGTGAGCACCTACTGGCAGCATCCCCCAGGTGGCTGTAGCCTGTCCATCAGGGTACAAAGCCAGTCCACACTGCTGCCATCACACAGACGCTTCCACACATCCATTTCCCAAGAGAAGACAAGGAACAATTTGGGGCAATGCCGACAGAATAGACTCCTCCTGTGCTCAGATACTGGCCAGTCCCAAAGCAGGCCAGTTTGCTGTGTTCATAGATGCACAGCTACAGTTCAGTCTGTGGGACCAACCACACAGCCTGCTGGGAGATGCTGCTGGAGCAGTGCAGAAGCAGATGGGAGCCACAACATAAGATCACTAAACTGTCTAGTTTGACCTGTCTATTCAAAGAGCCTGATCCACACCAGGTTGCAACAGGGACATGAGCATTTTGAGTACCACTACCCCACCTGCCCCATGTATTTTGTTTATGCAACAATGTTTTGGTAAAGGTGAGGTGAGGAAAAAACTGCAAAGACTTCTGTGAGTAGAATCTGCAAGCTGCCCCAAACTGGTTAAGAGCCAGCTCCAGCGGTGGGCCAGTGAGCAATACTGGTCACATCTCCTTGAGAGCATATTTAAGAAAGGTTAATAAAAATGCTGCAGAACAGCAACTGGAAGAGAGAAGTAAGAATGCGAGAGAAACAGGCGCCCTGCAGGCACCAAGGTCAGTGCAGCAGGAGGTGCTCCAGGCACAGAGCAGCAGATCCCTACAGCCCAGAGAGGTCCAAGGTGGAACAGACCACTCCCTGCAGCCCATGGGCACCATGCAGAGCAGATATCCATATGCAGCAATGGAGGAGCCCTCAGTGCAGCAGCAGATGAGGCCTGAAGGAGTTGCAGTCCATGGAGAGCTCTGGGCCAAAGCTGCAGCCCATGGAGAGGAGCCTGTGATGGAGCATGGGAAGAGTGTAACCTTGAAGGTGCAGATGAGACAAAGCCACCAGAGCCCACGGAAAGCCACAGTGCCCTGTGCAAGCAGCACTGCCTTAGTCATGCTGTGGTGGAGTATGCAGCCACAGGACAGCTCTGTGCGGGTGTGCTGCAGCCAACAGACTCAGGCAGAAGGGGCAGGCAGAAGTCATCTCCCACACTGCAGGTAAAGCCTCAGCTCTTCCCACACCCATACATCTAATCTCCAGAAAGAGATCTGGCCTCCTGGAAAAAGTCTATGTGCAGATACTCACAGACACACACACACAAATACACATTTGAGAAAGATAAAAAAAGCATCTTGCAGAGTCCACAGTATGCTAAGCCAATCTAAATTTTACCTTTTCAGAACTGACAATATTTTATTCACTTTCTACTTCAAGATGACACAAGCAGAACACAATTCAGCATTCCGTGAGTAGCAGCACTCCATCACCAAACATAATAGATGAAGAAATGTAAGTATGTGCATTATAAGACTGACAGTGATAAACCATAAGCCCTCAAGCAAGGGCAAATTGCTAGTCATGGTTGCTTTGGTAAGTACTAAAGGGCCAGCTAAGCATTATACAAACACAAGGCAGATAAAGAGTCCTTTCTGAAAGACAAAATAGAGCCCAGTTTAAACTACCAAGATAGTATAAAGGACAGGCAGGAACACAGAGCATACCAGAAGAACTGTGCCAGTACAGGGTGTAAAACATTCATATCCCCCTCAGCAAACACTTGTATCAGTTAATAGAAGATAGTTTTGCTCCACATAACTTATGTTCTGGTTGTTTTTGTTGTTTTTTGTTGTTGTTGTTGTTGTTTTGCTGTCACAGAAAACACTGGCAGAAACTTTTCCCTGTGAGTGCTTTGCCAGCAGAGCTGCAGACACACTTTCTACAATAGAGACAAGGGCTTCATAAGATAGACAAAAGAACAAAATTAACAGACTTAAGAAAAGGCCAAGTCAGTTCCCAAATGCTTTAAACTGGCAGCAGGAAAGGAGCTGATTCACTTCAGTAGGGATTGGCATAAGAGAAGG